TTCTAAAAAATTGGCCCCATGATTCAAATATGGATGACCTTGGTTAACTTTTTTGAGTTTTATTTGCTTCCACTTACAAGTGTGGTTTTTGGGGCTGATTTCGAGTTTAGCGCCCGTTTGAACCGTTTGAAGTAGTTTTGATAAATGATGGTTATGTAACATGTTACGAAGCTATCGTTGGTGGTTGTCAGTCACCCACTCTAGATGGCCGGCAGGAAGCCTGATGGTCGACCTGACCTGACCCGACCCGATCTACCCAAAATGCATGGAGTCATCATCTTTGTTCAAGACTAACATCGAACTCGTACTCGGGACCCCGATAACAGCTACGGCTCACTAAGTTCTAGCAGGCGGCCAGATTTTTCCTACTTTTGGGCGTTGACCTAAGATGACCCGGCCAAGACCTTGAAATTGGGCATCATCGGCTTTCTCTCATCACGGGCAGCATTTTCGCTCTTCCGCGAAACTACCTCGATCAGGGGCCGAAAGCATGCCTTATGCGTTACGTTGGTAAACGTTTTACCTTAGCGACCCGCAAAATACGAATAAGAGCTAGAAAGCGTATTCGATAGCTTTTTAAGCTCTTTCGCCAACTTCGCCTCAGATATGACTTAAGGTCTATGGCTTGTGTACCATAGAGTCCAAACAGCTAAACTGACGGATTTTGCCGAAACATTTGTTCTGTAACAACCTATGATTCAGTGAATGTGCATGATATTCATGTTATCACCATCGTTTTTGTTTCGTCGAAACACGTCGCATGGCTTACAATTTGAACTTAAAAACTTGAATAGAAAACTTGACATCAGGTAAAGGTCATGACCTGACCGGAAAAGAACCTGCTGCATATGGATCGATCTGTGTTACTGAGCTGAACACACTCCAGGTGCTGTCATCGCTCTACAACGTCTCCATCAAAAGTTGTCGAAAATGTGTTAGAGACCTTTGATGACCTAATGACTGACTATTTCAGTCACCACTGGTCATTAGCTGCACCTTATCACTAAAATGAACAAGGTGCCATGGCTACAAAAGTATCTAGCGTTTTTAGCATATTCTTTCAAAGCAGAGGGCATCGTGCTTTTTCCCATATCTTATCATGATTGGTGAGGTCACATACCTATTTGACCTGACTTCGCTTCTCAGATGTAAAATCCCAGATTCATGAACTTTTGGCACTTATAATCCCATTCATACACCAAATTTCAGACTTATAGGAGTCAGGAGATAATCTATAGGAATGACAAGATTGCAGTTTTAAGAGGCATTAAAACTGAACTTGACATGACATTGTGACCTGACCTCAGGTGACCTCTGCTTGATTTTTATGCACGATGCAAAAATGATGTACAATAAGATATACCGCTGCCTTCGCGGCGCTGCGCCGAGGTTTTTCTCCGGGCACACGAAAAAACCGGGAGTGTGGCTAAAAACACCCCTACCCATCAAGACGAAGACCGGAAACCCGACCCCCCCCCCACTCAAAAATCCGTGGCGACGCCCCTGCATACAAGAGTCCAACGCCGGCGCTTAGGTGATAAGGGCGCCTACATGCGAAAGAGAGTTGATAAAATGAATTCATAGGAAAAGGGGCGCCCGCCTGTGTGCAAGAGAAGGGCGCCTGCTAGGGTCGTCGCCATGGATTTTTGACTGGGGGAGGGGGCAGAGGCGGATCCAGCTCAGAGTTTTTTTGGGGGGGGGGGGCAAACCATAACAATTTATCGATTCTTTCCATGCATCGTCCATAGGCGTAATGTTAAAATTATGCCGTTGGGGGGGGGGGCAAATGCCCATTTTGCCCCCCTGGATCCGCCACTGGGAGGGGGGCATATCGGCAGACTTAAAACCCAAAAGAAGGTATTGTCGTCGTACTCTTAGCCCAATACACTATCTGTGTTAAAGGTCGTACAAGTCGGTTTTTTTACAGTACACATCTGAAGTCCGATTCAATTTGACACAATTAGGGGCAAAGCCGCTGCTCTTCTTTTAGGGTGTACCAATTGCTGACGCATGCCACCAATCTGAATCTGATACATAATGCATTCATGCCCGTGTAGGAGGAGGGGAGATATTACAGCCACAATCTCTCTTTTTGGCTGCTGTAAGAATCGGCGGCGCGAAGCGTCGCGAAAAATGGCAAAAACATTTGTCAAAATACAGCCCCAAAACACAGACTTTGCAAGCCTTGTAGCATGTAAGAGGTCAGAACACCTAAGGTCGGGTCACCAAGTCAAGCAGCCTATACATAAGTTTTGTGATCCTGCATCAACCGTGCAGCTTGTTTCCTTGAAGTTGGAAATTTAGTGCAAGTCTGCACAACTGCGGGGTTGAAGCCGGAGACGGTCGGAGTTGTCTATTCTGCAAATAGTCATTTTTAAGCATCCTCAGGTGTTTATTTTGGGGGATTTGCCCCTCGGATTCCTCAACCGGGGGGACGCGTCTCCCTGTCCCTTCGTTTTCGACGCCCATGGCGCCTGCGATGGCCATACGGCCGCCTGTGATGCTCATAGGGGTGTCTGATTGCGAAAGACGGTATCATATGATGCCTACTGGGGTGTCGACATGCAATTGAGGGGCGATTATCAATGCCATAGCGGCTCCTCCGTACGAAAGACGGGCGTCTACATGCTAAAGAGGAGCGGCTCTGAGGCAGTAAGGGCGCCTACATGCAGTAGAGGGGCGCCTCCGAGGCCTACGTATATGGGCGTCCACATGCAATAGAGGGGCGCCTATCAATGCCATAGGGGTGCATTCATACGAAACAGGTGCGCCGCCATGGCAAAGAGAGATTTGTATAAGGGTTTTCAGGGGTCATGCGCCGTTTACGACAAAAAGATTCAGATTCTAAGAAAAAAAAAATCGGAGAGGGGAACAACTTTAAAAAATAGTGCGGACTTTCCGCGCTGTTCGCTTAAGCAGTTACGCCCCTGGCCCCTGGGTACATCTGCCCGATCTCAGAAGCTAGATTTGGAGGTCATACTTGAAAGCAGTACGATGAAAAAGTTGGAGGCCCCTGAAAATAGGAGGCCCCCTGGAAAAGGAGGCCCCTCAACAGGGTGGCCCACCCACTTTTCATGACGTTCCTACGCCCGTGACTATGTTTACAATTTTTAAATGTTATTACGAGCGAGCGAGCGCAGCGAGCGAAGCGAAGTCATTTCAATATAACGGAAAAATCTCAGTATGAGCGGCCCGGCCCGGCCCGGCCCGGCCCGGCCCGGCCCGGCCCGGCCCGGCCTGTAACGCTTTTGAGAGGCTTATATCTCAGCAACCGCTGGACCGATTGGCCTGCGGTCTTTTTTGCTGGGTAGCCCCATCCCTTCTACCCCGTAATTGACTACTTTTGATACATCTCAGTGACCGTCGTGGCACGTGCCACGTGAAAAGTCAAGGGTGTTCAAGCTGTTTTGCAAAAGTAGTGATTTTGAGAGGCCCATATCTCAGCCGCGGCTTGAACGATTGACTTGCGGTAAATTTTATAGGGTAGCTGCATCCCTTCTACCAAAGGTCGGATACTCTTGATCTATGTGAGTGACCCCCAGTGCACGTGCAAAATACAACAATAAGAGGTGCCAAATTTGTTCCCATTTCAATAACTCGGTAATTACTAAGGCGATTTCGCTGAAACTTGGCATACAGGTAGGCAACCACCAGGCAATGCATTCCCATGTGTTGCGGTTAGGGTGCTACTGCACGTTCGCACGTGCAGGGGGCGTTTCCAGATCTCGAGAACGGCTGGGCCGATTGCGCTCAAATTTGGTACACGGTTGGGGACCGGTTAGTAGGGTGCCGTGCAAAAGTCAGTTTGGACCCCGTTTGCACGTGCGCACGTGCAGAATGCCGCTTCCAGATCTCAGGAACGGCTGGGCCGATTGCGTTCAAATTTGGCACACCGCTAGCGACCGGTTAAAAGGGTGCTTTGCACAAGCCCGTTGGAAGTACCCTCTCGCCCTTCCGCACGTGCAGGGCTCACTATCTCGCTCGCTCGTTCTTCGCCCAAAAGGCGTTTTACTGGTGTTATTCCATAACCGTTTGGAATTTTTGTAAGCGTTCTTGTCCATGCATGGCATGGTTATCGTACATGTATTCTACCAATTTTAATGATTTTTACCCCACTAATAGCTAAGCTGGAATATTTTTGTCTCGGACGGTATGCGCGGGGCAAAGTGGCCGGGGCAAAGTGGCCGCCCCCCAATTGGCTATAAGTTGCTTCCATCTGGATAAAAAACATTATTTATATTCAAATGTTTCGTCATGCATTCATCTTGGTCACTTTTCATTTGCATGAGTTAACAAATAATGCAATTAAATGTTTATTTTCATGAAAATCCTTTCTTTGTTTATCTACAGGTGGAAGATGATAAAGTAAACACCCATCCTCGCTTAACTTTGTCATCATCAAATAGGTACCCTAATCGTACACGAGGCAACTATTTTGTTTCTCCAAACTGATCTTAAGACAAAATAATGCACCATTTTCGTCCACTCTCAGTGCCAGGTCGAACAATCGGCCGCTGAAGACTCACCGTCCCTTAGTCCCCGACTGCCTGCTGAGGAATCACTTTCCCTCAGGCCCACGGAAAGTCTGCTGAGAAATCACTTCCCATCTCGTTCCCCCCCCCCCCCCCGGCCCCCGGCCTTTGACTGAGGAGTCGAGGACTCACTTTTCCTCAGTCCCTCGACCGTCTGATGAGGGCTCATTTTTCCTCCGCCGCCCCCTCGGTCGTCTGCTGAGGATTAACCCTTCCTCAGTCCCTTGACCGTCTATAACTGAGGACTTTCTTCCCTCAGTCCCTCGACCGTCTACTGAGGACTTTTCTTCCCTCAGTCCCTCGGAATCTGCTGAGCACTCACCTTCCCACCCTCTCAGTTCTCTCAGTCCTTCGGGCGCAGCTGGACGGGGCTCACTATTCACTTTCCCTTGGCCCTTCAGCCGTCTGCTATACGGACTCACCTTCCCTTACAGTCCCTCTGTCGTCTGCTGAGTAGTGAGTACTCACCTTCCCTCAGTGCTCAGTCCCGGTCGGCCGTTCCTCTGGCCGCCGCGTCCCTCCGTTGGTCGGTTGGTCGGTCGGTGACGGCGGCCTGCGAGCTGCCGGGCGGCGCCGCGCTGTCTGCCGGGCGGCCGCCGCGCAGTCTGGGCCCCCGGCCCTCCCCTCCCCTCCCCTGCCCTCCTCCGGCAGCCAACCGATAACGAGGCGCCGGCGCCGACCGAGCGGCCCCCTCCCCTCCCTGACCCCCCGACCCCGGTCGGTGCTCACATATCGGCCCGCCCCACCCCCTGACCCCGCCCCGCCCCCTGACCTCACCGCACCGGCCGCGGTGGGGACAGGGCATCGTTACACTTGTTATGTCCCCCTCTCTTCGCTGTCGGCGCCCGTGTTTACGAGATAATATGCGGAGCTCACTCAGCTTACGACAGTCAAGAGGGAGCAGCCGCTGCTGCCTTCTCGCAAAATAAAACCAGCAAAAGGAAGTGCAGGTACGGATAAAAAAGTAACAGTAGGAAGAACAAAACGGTGAATCAAACGGCATAAACAATCATTACGAGCGAGCGAGCGCAGCGAGCGAAGTGAGTCTTTTCAATATAACGGAAAAATCTCAGTATGAGCGGCCCGGCCCGGCCCGGCCTGTAACGCTTTTGAGAGGCTTATATCTCAGCAACCGCTGGACCGATTGGCCTGCGGTCTTTTTTGTTGGGTAGCCCCATCCCTTCTACCCCGTAATTGACTATTTTTGATACATCTCAGTGACCGTCGTGGCACGTGCCACGTGAAATGTCAAGGGTGTTCAAGCGGTTTTGCAAAAGTAGTGATTTTGAGAGGCTCATATCTCAGCAGCCGCTTGGGCGATTGACTTGCGGTAATTTTTGTTGGGTAGCAGCATCCCTTCTACCCAAAATAGGATACTCTCGATGTATGTGGGTCACCCCCAGTGCACGTGCAAAATACAACAATCAGAGGTGCCAAATTTGTTCCCATTTCAGTAACTCGGTAATTCCTGGGGCGATTTCGCTGAAACTTGGCATACAGGTAGGCACCTACCAGGCAATGCATTCCCATGTGTTGCGGTTAGGGTGCTACTGCACGTGCGCACGTGCAGGGGGCGCTTCCAGATCTCGAGAACGGCTGGGCCGATTGCGCTCAAATTTGGTACACGGTTGGGGACCAGTTAGTAGGGTGCCGTGCAAAAGTCATTTTGGACCCCGTTTGCACGTGCGCACGTGCAGAATGCCGCTTCCAGATCTCAGGAACGGCTGGGCCGATTGCGTTCAAATTTGGCACACCGCTAGCGACCGGTTAGAAGGGTGCTTTGCACAAGCCCGTTGGAAGCACCCTCTCGCCCTTCCGCACGTGCAGGGCTCACTATCTCGCTCGCTCGTTCTTCGCCCAAAAGGCGTTTTACTGGTATTTTAACATTGCCAATGACTGACTATTGATTCATCACGGCCTGGGTCAGCAGGATCAATAAAGGAATTTGATAACCAATGTTCAGGACGATGGGAGGGAGCATTGATTGTCATTCGAGAGTTTGCGATTCCCCCAAGCCGATGTTAGCTATGACCTAATTATTTGCCACTTGGCAGAACGGCAACTATGCCGATTGCCATCTGAATGCGGACGCCACTGAAGAACACATTCCGAGAACCACAGTACGCTCTCATGCACAGAGGTTGGCGGTAACGTCCGCAATGCGAAGCAATACTCCTCATATCGAGCAGCCATTGTCGGCTACGTCCGCACCGTTGTTGTTGCCAGGTCGATATGGCTCGGTCGGTCACTATCCACTACTGACACTTCCGGGAACTGTGATCGAGCAGCTCGGCGTCACGGCGCCGAAAGACGCCGTCCAGCGGCAGTGGAGGGCGCCATCTAGCTACAGTGGAGGGCGCCGTACGAAACAGTCAAGGGTGCCGTCCAGAAAACGCCGAGGGCGCCGTACATACGAGTACACCACCGAGGGCGTCGTTCAGCGGCCCTAAAGGACGCTAATTCTCGAGGGCGCCGTCCAGCGACCGTCGAGGGCGCCGTCCAGCGACCGTCGAGGGCGCCGTCCAGCGACCGTCGAGGGCGCCGTCCAGCGACCGTCAAGGGCGCCGTTCAGATAAAGTCGAGGGCACCGTCCGGCGACCGTTGAGAGGACGCTATCCAATAACTACCTTAAGAAGATGCTATCCATTTAGAGTGTACTACAGAGTACGTTAAGATGTCTGGCGATCGCAGGGGCACCGTCCAGCGATTACCTGGAGTAATTCCATTCGTGACCCTCAGGGCGCTAAGCTAATTATCGAGGGCGCCGTCCAGCGACCATCTAGGGCGCCGTCTAGCAACGGCTGAGGGTGCCGACTGCCGTCCACTCCAGTGGCAGTGGAGGGCGCCATCCAGCGACTCTAAGAGGCACCAGCTCAAGGGCGGCCGTCAATAACAGTCGAGGAGGCAGTCCGCAAGGTGCTACAGGTGCTATAGCTCGTAGCTTTTTGACATCATTCTCATCGGTCAAAGGCCCCAAAACTTCATCGGCCGGTTATTGGGAAGTCAGTAGCACAACATGGTCCCTATAGCAGGAATAGGTTTGGTTAGGTTAGGTCAGGCATTGGAATGGTGATGCGTTTGAATATGAATGCTGATATTGAAAGGAAATGCTGTAGCCTCACGTGTTCAGCTTACACCATCTATATTTTCTTAACAGCGAAAGTTCATGGGAGTTGTTGAAATGCCATGATGCTGAACTTCCGTGCAAGCGAAATCTGCCGATCGGAATTATCGAAGATATGAAAACAATCAGAACAAACGTTACTTTTTATTCGTGCATCTGAGCTAGAGATCAGAAGAACAAAAGAAAAAAGGACATTCTGCATCAACAACAAACTATCTGTATCAACAAACTCTTTGGCGCAGCCTGGGTCACTGCCTTATCGTCGTCCTCCGGCGATGGTAGACCTAGCGACTCTACACGTCCATATCCAACACCAGGTAAGACGTGCACGACTGGAGGGCAGACAGAAGCGCCGGCGACACCTCACTGAACCGGCTCAGGTTGGGCGCCACCCGCTTCAGGAAGCGCTCCTTGAGGCTCTGCCACGTGCGGCCACCGAGCCGAAGGGCCATGTCTTGCCAGAGCCGGCGGCCGCCGACCCGGAGCGCGCGGCACGGCTCCTCCTCCAGGTACCGCAGAATGGCCTCGTCCTCCGCGCGGGTGAAGCGGCGGTACGGCGGCCGGCCCTTCCCACCCAGCCGGTTCCGCGGCTGCTCGGGGAACAGTCGCGGCATCATGCTGCTGCGCCAGTGCTGCTTCATCGACTGCCAGCTGCGGCCGGGCAGCAGCCGGCGCTGCTCCAGACACTGCCAGGCGTGCCGGCCGCCGAGCCGGGCGCCGCTCCGCCGCAGCTGCAGCACGTGCCGAGCCAGGGTGTGCTCCTCCTCATCCGTGTAGGCGCGGCGTTCGGTGGCGTCAGCGGAGGCAGAGGAGCCGTTCAACCTTGCGTTCAACAGCGAGCAAAGATCGCTGTCCTCATCCGAGCTGCTGGCCACGAAATCCAAAAAGAAATCCACCTCCGGGCTCCCGGGAGTCGAGCAGCTGACGCCGGTAGTCGAGCTAGGGACAGGCGGGACCAAGGCCGGCGGGACGGCGGCGGCGTCGACAGCCGCACGACGCTTTCGTCTAGCCGACGAACCGTGGCCAGTCGTCTCAGTCGAGGAGGTTGGCGTAGGCATCGTCAGACGGGTAATCGGTATATACTACCTTGGTCAGACCCGTCCTCAACCTGGCAACCAAGTCCTCGCACGGCCTCTTTTGGTGATAGGGGCCCTAACTCACCGATTGACGGTGGGGTCGATCCAAGGCCATATATAGTGGTCGATCGAAATTCCGGCAGGTTCCGTAGCCCGGAAAACAAAGACAACCGCCCAACGGCCCCAATCTCCTCCGCAATCTCCAAGGGTCTTGTTTATCTGGTGGCGTCACTGAACCACTGAACTCTATAATGCACTGAACTCTATAATGGGTGGTGTATTTGATAATTGGATCCTGTGCGAATCTCTAAAAATATGACGTAACTGCTGCATATGCCTGCGATCTGCATATTATGCTCATGCGTAGTGATGGATGTAGATGGGAATGCAGGCCATAATTATGGGCAATTTCCTGATCATCCAAGCTCTTATTCATTTTTTGTTCATTTATATAATGATATAAGCACACTTGAATGTGCTACTGTTTCTTCCGTAATGTCGCGCGTAAATGTCGTCATTTTCCTCTGTCATTTTCATGATGCAAGATCCGTGAATGTTATGACTTGCCTTGGTTTGGCGTTGGTTATGACTCATTCTTATGCAAATCACAATGTGCATTGCTAGGTCGTGGCAGTCAAGCTCATTTCGACAGATTTTAACAGATTTTTGAAATGTGAGAAAAAATAAGCAAAAAACGTGTTTTGAACAAGAAGATATCCTGACCCCCGGCCCAGTCTCCAGTTCCAAAGAGAAGCGCACACAAATTGTTCTTCTGACGTCATTTATTTGGATTCTGGCAGACGATTACTTCGGACTTAGACGGATGTGGTGTGAGAACGGCGGAAACGGCGCATTCGATAGTTGCCGCTTGGTTGCGTTTGCGCTGCTTAGTGCTTGCTGTGTGTGGTGTGGTAGTGTACGGCGGTGAGCGTGTCAGTGTGCTGGGTTCCCGTATTATTTTTTATGTCTATTATTACTGCTATGTTCCGATAACTCATTATTTTGGGTCGAACTGTGGGTAGCCGTGGTAGTCATTTTTTATGTGGTGCGTGGCTGGCGCCTAGCGGGGAAGCCGGAGTTGTGCTGTGTTGGGTTCGCTGGCGTTGCGTGGTCACTGGTCTCCACTTGACTTTGACTTCCAGAATCAAGTATTGCCAAGATCCAAAAATTTTGCTGAAACATATGGATGACATATGGATGTTGACCTTGAAAGGTCGAAAGGTCAACATCCATATGTTTTGATGCGGATTGACGAGAGGATCACGATGGTGCTATTAGTTTGTTCCTAGCTGGGATACCTTGAAAGTTATTCGAGAAAAACTTCATATATATGTAGTGCCGCTATTTTGACTTCCTTTTTGCTCCTGTGACGTCATCTTTGACCTGACCTGAAAATGACCTCAGTAAAAATTATAGACCTTATCTGTGTGTACCCTGTACCGTTTAACGCTTGTCGCTATCTTGCTTTGTTCTCGAGATCTCGCTGACGCTCCCGCTCGTAATAATGGACCTGACCCGAGGTCAACGCAGGGCGATAACCACTTTTTTATTATCGCATATGAATGACAATTGATAAGGCTTTAATCGTCATTAGACAAAATTGCAACTTTCAGTGGGGAAAATATCAAGGTCAATCTTCGAAAAATAGGTCAAAAGGTCACGTGATCACCATTTTCAAAAATTGAAAATCCGAGATAGCCAAAATGTTTGTTGGTTGATTGTGAGTTGAACCATATAAAGTTTTTATCGTAGAAAAACCAATAGTTTCTGAGTTATAGGCCGCCAAACATAGGGCTGCAACGCGACCTCCAGGAATTGCTCGAGGCTATATCTCGAAAACCGTTGGTTGAAGAAAAAATCCTTGCCACAGCTGGCTTCCCCGCCCAGCACAACCCATTAGACCAATTTTAAGCAAAAAATAAAATATGAGGGTGCAGGGCACTTGTCGATTTGTCGTGGAACGCCCCTGATAGCAGCACGCTGCTAATTACACGTGTCAAATTGGGTTTCCATGGAAACAGCAACAAACCATGACATCGTCAATCTGTGTGATGTCATCAAATATTGCTGCTAACTTCTTCATGGCCGTGCGATCAAACAAATTTATCAAACGCAATCAACGAGACAGCAACTCGGTTCCAAAAGCAGCTATGAAAAAGCTCATGGATTACACGAAACGTCATTAGTGTGACGTCATCACATTATGTCAGCTCACGCAATGCGTGCTGCTATCACCGGTGAAACAGGGCCCTGTTCTAAGTCTCTATCAAAACCGGACACAGCCTGTCGACATCGAAATTGTGGCTTGCTTCTGGTCCCGGCACTTAATTCGGTATTCTCTTAGCAGACGTCGCCCCTGCTGCCATATCTAGTAGGGCCTACTCAACTTCTTGTGTGTTGAGCTCAGCATGTTTAGGTATGAGACGAGTATGAGTACTCAGTAGTTCCCTGAGGTGTCTCTGCCTAAGCTTATTCTGTCTTGTAATCTGTGCTGCTGCTGTCTCAAAATTTCAGGATTTTTATTTAGCAATGATTGCTTTTGTCTTGTGTTAGTGTGTACTTGTCAGAATATTTTGAATTTTTTGTTGTTCTCAGATTTGTTCCCAGCACCAAAATGGGTGATATAAAAATGGAAAGGAAGGGTACCTTCAAGGTCGATTACCTAAAGGAGATCGAACGTGACATGCAAGAAAAATGGTCACGAGACAAGGTTTTTGAAGAAAATGCCCCAGAATCATCAAAATCAGGGAAAGGCGAAAAATATTTTGTCACTTTTCCATATCCATACATGAATGGAAGACTGCATTTGGGACATACGTTTAGCCTTACTAAATGTGAGGTAAGTACAATCCCTTTCACTGATGCTCAGACTAAATAATGATGATGATATCACATTGCTGTGTTGTGTATGTATTGCTAGCTGCTTGCTTTAGCGCTGTGAATGGTGACTGTTGAGTATACAGGATTGATCTTTAAGCTACACCTTTTGTCAGTTAAATTCGGTTGCGTAATCATCCATTTTAGAACTATAGTTCGTTTTTCTTAAGTTTGCCCCTCACTGTAAACGTCTTTTTGAACACAGCACGAGAATTGCTAGCTGAATTACTGAGAAAACTGGTTGGCGCACATTGATTTCACCAGATTTCACAGACGATCAATTTCATCAAATTTATTTACTTTTTCACAGACTCGTAGCTCGTATTTGCCAATACCTACAGCCCCACAGGGATAGACGACTTCTCAGCAATTATGTCTGAACTAATAAATAAATTGCACGGCGCTTAACATAACGTTAAATCGTCGGTGTTCAAACCTTATTTTGATTACGAGCGAGCGAGCGCAGCGAGCGAAGCGAAGTCATTTCAATATAACGGAAAAATCTCAGTATGAGCGGCCCGGCCCGGCCCGGCCCGGCCCGGCCCGGCCCGGCCCGGCCCGGCCTGTAACGCTTTTGAGAGGCTTATATCTCAGCAACCGCTGGACCGATTGGCCTGCGGTCTTTTTTGCTGGGTAGCCCCATCCCTTCTACCCCGTAATTGACTACTTTTGATACATCTCAGTGACCGTCGTGGCACGTGCCACGTGAAAAGTCAAGGGTGTTCAAGCTGTTTTGCAAAAGTAGTGATTTTGAGAGGCCCATATCTCAGCCGCGGCTTGAACGATTGACTTGCGGTAAATTTTATAGGGTAGCTGCATCCCTTCTACCAAAGGTCGGATACTCTTGATCTATGTGAGTGACCCCCAGTGCACGTGCAAAATACAACAATAAGAGGTGCCAAATTTGTTCCCATTTCAATAACTCGGTAATTACTAGGGCAATTTCGCTGAAACTTGGCATACAGGTAGGCAACCACCAGGCAATGCATTCCCATGTGTTGCGGTTAGGGTGCTACTGCACGTGCGCACGTGCAGGGGGCGTTTCCAGATCTCGAGAACGGCTGGGCCGATTGCGCTCAAATTTGGTACACGGTTGGGGACCGGTTAGTAGGGTGCCGTGCAAAAGTCAGTTTGGACCCCGTTTGCACGTGCGCACGTGCAGAATGCCGCTTCCAGATCTCAGGAACGGCTGGGCCGATTGCGTTCAAATTTGGCACACCGCTAGCGACCGGTTAAAAGGGTGCTTTGCACAAGCCCGTTGGAAGTACCCTCTCGCCCTTCCGCACGTGCAGGGCTCACTATCTCGCTCGCTCGTTCTTCGCCCAAAAGGCGTTTTACTGGTAATATTATTCATATCTACAATACAATGTGCGCTAACCAGTTTTCTCAGTAATTCAGCTAGTAATTCTCGTGCTGTGTTCAAAAAGACGTTTACAGTGAGGGGCAAACTTAAGAAAAACGAACTATAACGAAATGTGTGTAGACAGACCGCAATATTATGTACAAGAATCGCATAATATCTCGGCGCAGGTCAGGCAGTCGGCGGTAAAGCATTCAATTTCGGCACAGCGGCAATATGCTCCATTTTCGGCAATAGCGCAAGTAGAATCTGCGGCGCCAGCACAGGTTTAGAGGTAGCGCACGCTATTTAGCAAGAGTAACAACCAAATTCGGCACTGTTCATTCAATTTCGGCGGGTAACCGGAGACACCCAGATGGTTCATATTTTCAGGAGCGCTTCTTGAACATCAAATAAATCGTCATACAGCTTTGTGGCTTTGGGATATTCTCAGGGAAAGAAAAGTAGGTCATGGTTTGTTTAGCTTCACAGTACCTACCTAAGGCCGTTTCGCTGTTTCCTGTTTCGAATTTTGATGTGAAAATTGATAAGCTTTATTGAGTTAGTACTATTTATCCTAAAAAATAACATCCGTGGGTTGGTTTCGTTTTTTTTTTTAATATTACAGTACCCGCTCCTGTCCGGCGTCCGCACATGGCGGACGACGCTTGACAAGGCAAACGCCAATCGTTGTTGGACTCGAGGTAAACCCCGAATATCTTTCATTGAAGCACGTCTGTGCTGTTGTCACTGTGTGCCAGGGTTTTGCCCAAAACATGAACCCATTTCATCGAAAGGTGTTATTTTACTCTAATGGTTATTGTTAGGATACCAAAGCATATGCCAAAGCCATTCTTACCATGCAGCGCCATAGGGTTAATGTTAAAATTCCGAAATTATTGGTAGGGCTCGGGCCCTACCAAGTCTACACAAAACGACACCCATGACATCAAACATCCCTTACCTACTGTGTGCAGAGAGACACGAAAATAAATTCAGCATTCTTTTTCGTATCCCCACGCCTCCCATCACTACGCCCCACCCCCACGAACACCACCAAAAGCTTAGCGCTGACATTCTAAACCGTCCCATGAACAAGACTCGTAGCTGCGGCAGGTGTATCTTTCTTCGCCCCCTCCCCCCCCCCACACACACACACAAACACACATCAAGCAGCATCTGACTGTCCACATCCGGCGCTCGGCGCATCCTTTCAACAACCGCGCGACGACACCGGGCGTCTCTGGCGCACGGGCGGGGTCAAAGTTCAGTAGTCGCGTACCCTGTCGGCCTGGTTTTGTTCTCCGCCGTCTTCGTTATAAGCAGATACCTCTGCACTTATGTTAGTTCTTCCTTGATAAAAATCAATACATTGTAATGTTTTGTTTAAACCACAGAGGCACGAACGTGAAATCATGCTCAACGCTGGCGAATGCGAATGGAATATGCGGCCACAAAGGAGAGGGTGGAGGGCCGGAGGCAGTACAAGTCCAGACAATGAGACGGTGGCAACAGTAAACACCTTGAAAAACGCTTGACTTAATAACAATGCTCCAACAGGCTTATTTTGTAAGCGAGAAGTCTCTGCCTGCTTCCAAACAGCCGCCGAAATTGAATGAATATCTCCGAATTTGGTTGCTGCTGTTCTAAATATCGTGCGGCAGCCTCCAATCTCCAGCGACATCGCCGAATTACAATGCGGACACGCCGAACACGGGCGCCTTTTGCTGGTGCGCCGAAATTAAATGCTCTAATGCCGATCACCGCTATAAGCGGCCGACATGCAATGCTATACTGATACATAGCTTTGCGGGCTGTCTACAAAGAATCCGCTAGTTCTAAAATGGACGCGTACGTACCGAAATAAACTGACAAAAGGTGTAGATTGGAATGATCTATGCTATCAACCACTAGAAATGCTGTTTGCTTTATTCTACATTTACTACTTGTTGCAATGATATTAGTTTTGTGGGATAGGAGAGCGGCTGCCATATTGGCAAAAAGCATGATGGCTTACTATTATATTCGCATTATTCATAAAAAGACACATCTTTGACTTCAGTGATGTCTGTGCAAGTGTGCTGGATTTTTTTTTTGTAGTGTATGTTTTCTCACCATGTGGCCTATGTCTGCTCCCACTTCCAGTTTGCAGTCGGCTACCAGCGCCTGCAGGGCAAACAGTGCCTGTTCCCGTTCGGCTTCCACTGCACCGGTATGCCGATCAAGGCGTGCGCCGACAAGCTGCGCCGCGAAATCGAGACGTACGGCTGTCCGCCGACCTTCCCGGCCGAGGAGAGCCGGGACGATGAGACCCAGCAGCAGGACAGTGGCGATCCCATCATCAAGGACAAGGCCAAGGGGAAAAAGGTAGATACAGGCACTGAGAGTGCATGCCCACCAGAAGGTGGCCGCGGTCTGCTCATAGAGGATGTGACCTGTCTAAGTTTCAGTTTGGTAGATGAGTATTCAGGAATCGAAATGCGAGCTGGATGGAGCAACATCATGACATTTCCTAACTTTCAATGTTTGAGCGTTTTTCGCTGTTGCTACTGAATGGTGTGCTAAGTGTGCACTCGATGCCCAGTAAGCCCAGTTTCACGAACTAAAGCCCGATGTATTCACTCTTTTCGCCCATGCCTCACTTCCTGAACTCAGCACCCTGGAGCTACGTCCTATTGGCTGACCTGATGTCTGCGTCCATCCCCAGAGCAAAGCAGCGGCGAAGGCCGGCGGCTGCAAGTACCAGTGGCAGATCATGCAGAGTCTCGGGCTTCCCGATGACGAGATCAAAAAGTTTGCCGACGCCGACCACTGGCTGCGCTACTTTCCTCCGCTGACGCAGCAGGATCTGCTCCGCCTCGGACTGAGGGTGAGCTGCGGTGGAGTCAGTGTCTGACGGGAGAGGGGCGGCTGGACGCGGGAGGGGGAAAGGGCAGGGGAGCTGCTGTCATTGAGGGTGGGGAGCAGCTGATGATGATAGTGGGACTGCCACTGGTGAAGGGATGGCTATTGTAATTAATGATGACTGATGGGATTTATTGAGACTGGTGAACGGATGAATAAGGGAAAATGGCGGAGTAAGGACACGAGAATTACTGCTGATGTAAGCGAGAAACTTTTATGCCCGGTGAGGGCCAAGCTATCCGACCAGACGACTGGCTTCGTGCCATTGCCGATTTTTGCATTGGTGGCACTGAGCCCCAGTGCCCGGCGCGGAACCCGTCACTGACTGCGCTATCTAACCCTGCTGGCAGGTGGACTGGCGGCGCAGCTTCATCACCACCGACGCCAACCCCTACTACGACTCCTTCGTGCGGTGGCAGTTTCTCCGACTCCGCCAGCTTGGCAAAGTCGAGTTCGGCAAACGGTACACCATCTACTCGCCGAGGGACGCGCAGCCCTGCATGGACCACGACCGCAGCTCGGGCGAGGGAGTCGGCCCCCAGGAGTACACGCTCATCAAGATGAGGGCCAAGACAGTCCCGGCCGCGCTCAAGTAAGATACGACACGCTCGGGGAGTTCTACACTAGATGGGTGCATCGCTACATACTCTGTTTCAGCGCCTGTGTGTGTGTGTCTGTTGTCTCACCAAAACAGCTAGCCTCATATTCGTTTTTCTGTGTATATCTTTGTTACCTATGAATCATTAGAGTACTCTCACCAATGCATATTTTCTCCATGCGTTTGAATGGACCAGTGCGGTGACCGTTGGACGCCCTCTGACAGGGCGGCTGGGAACAAGCCGGTGTTCCTGGTGGCGGCCACGCTCCGACCGGAGACTATGTACGGCCAGACCAACTGCTGGGTGCGGCCCGATATGAAGTACATCGCTTTCGAGACCAGCAACGGCGAGGTAGGTGACATAGCGGTCCAGGCTACCGGCTACGGGCTCCGTGCTTGGTGTTGATTCGAGGGAGAAAATCTAAAACGAGGATCTGCGGTGTTATCTCGCTTGTATCGTGTCCCACTCTGCACTATTCTCGGATAGCTTAGTCTGTGCTCATTGAAAGCAATTGGCTGCAAGGGCCGGTGCCCGGTGGTGTTTTATTAATTTCTGATCATATCGTGTTCTTTTCTTTATGTGCGCAGGTGTTTGTGTGCACGAGGCGGGCGGCGCGCAACATGTCCTACCAGGGACTGACACCGGCCGAGGGTGAGGTCCCGGTGCTGGCCGAGCTGACCGGCCAGGACATCATGGGTCTGCCGCTGCGGGCGCCACTCACCTCATACGATACCATCTACACACTGCCCATGTTGACCATCAAGGAAGACAAGGGTGAGTGGGGGTGACAACACGGGCGAAGGGTGAAGTCGTGGAAAACGATGGTGACAAAGAATAGAAGGGGAGAGCTTTGAGCAACTTGGGATAATGTCATGGGTCAGTGACTGAGCCGTTTGTTAAATTTTAGAATCATGCAGAGCAGCAGGCTAGTTATTGACTTTTGCTCCGCTTCTGGGTTCCCAGATCGGTTTCAGCGGTTGAATTACGAAGTGAACCAATGCGCAATCACTGTGCATCTCCAGCACAAACTTTCTCGATTGATTTCTTAAACCCCATCAGATAAATAACGCGCCATCTCCTGTGACCCCACCAGGTACGGGCGTGGTGACCTCCGTACCATCTGACGCTCCCGACGACCTGGCCGCGCTGCGGGACCTCAAGAACAAGGCTCCTCTCCGTCAGAAGTACGGCGTCACAGACGAGATGGTGCTGCCGTTTGAGCCGGTGCCGATTATCGAGGTGCCCGGCCTGGGTCCGCTTAGCGCCGTCACCGCCTGTGACGCGCTCAAGGTGCAGAGCCAGAACGACAAGGAGAAGCTGGCAGAGGCCAAGGAGCAGGTCTACCTGAAGGGATTCTACGAGGGGGTGAGTCCGAGAGGGTGGCTGAGGCTGGACCATAGCGTGGTGACTGGTGACTGCAGCGCTTAGATTGCGGATTAGGGCGTTGCTATTTCGAAGTAGAAGGCAAAGGATAAATGTAAATAGCAAAAAAGGTCGTGTGTCTGGAGCTCATGCGAACTTACCAATTTCGCACCTAATTAGAAACTAATAATGCTTTCGCTCATTTTGATTACGAACTGTATTTACCTGTGATTTAATTGGTCATTGAAACAATTAATGCTTTCTGTTAGCTTCCAGATTTTGTTGTGACAATCTGATCTCGTGAAGCACAACTGCTCTTTTGGGCTGCTGTTTTCTGTATGCTCCTCTTTGTAGCCGTTTCTGCTGTCGTTTTTTCCTCCCATACTACATTTTGTGCCGTTTAGCCAATACCTGGTCGTCAAGCTGACGTCTGACGGGTCGGCCCTCCTCGCCAGGTGATGCTGGTGCCGGCCCACAAGGGGAAGAAGGTGCAGGACGTGAAGAAGCCCATCCAAAAGGAACTGGTGGAGAGCGGCCAGGCCGTCATCTACCAGGAGCCCGAGAAGCTGATCATCTCCCGTTCCGGAGACGAGTGTGTGGTGGCACTTTGCGACCAGTGGTGAGTGGGGCAGTGAAAGAAGGGTGCTGAAGGTAAAGTCGGTTCGGTGCCCTATAATATCGTAACTGGCAGTCGATAGCCTTAATTACTAGAGCAAAACACATCGATTATAGTTCGTTTTTTTTTTCAAAAGGACGCTGGCTCCAAGTATGTTTTTCGAACAAGCACGTGTTTTAGCGAGCAAAACGAGCAAAAACTGAACCTGGGAAAATCGAACGTCAACTTATTTTAACATGTAATTTCTTCCTGATAATTTACATATGTGCGTTTTGGAACCATATATGAGAACAGTGGTGACGTCATACTGTCGAACATGTATTGCAATGAAACTTATAGCTATCATGGACGGAACTGCTTACTCGATTATAAGCTCGGTAACAGTGAAAAACTAAGTTTCACCCAAATTCGTTGACACTCGTCCCATTGCACGGACATTTGGGTGCCTGCTGCCACCAGTGACGTCGTCATAGTATGTTCATTTTTAAGAAACAATTTCCAGCTACTTACCGTGCAGAATTTGAAATCGGTTATTTTTTCGGTAAGAAATTCTTCGCCAGACACTGAAGCTGCCAAAACTCACGTGAGAGCTTCGATATTGAACTTTGAGCCAGCGTCCTTTTGAAAAAAAAAAACGAACTATAGAGGCGGATTTGTGGCCGTAGATGCTCAATACCAAATCCATCGGTAATTTGCATTACTGGCTATCAAGCTATCGGCTGAAAAGTATTACTCATCAAATAAGTGACAAGAATGTATGTCTGCTATGCCACTCTGCATAACTTACTGGGAGGTAGCTTACTATGGGCCAAAAATATGTGGTCCTTGTCTGAATCTTGTCCGCCCGGCCAGTTGTGTACTCTGTAAGTGCTCCTGCTACGGGTCAGAGGTTCTATAGCTGAGTTGTTCCTTTTTGTCCGTCAGGTATCTGGACTACGGCGAGACCTCGTGGCGCAAGAAGACGGCCGAGTGTCTGGAGAAGATGGAGACGTATCACGACGAGACGCGGCGCAACTTCGCTGCCACACTGGACTGGCTGCACGAGCACGCGTGTTCGCGTACCTACGGACTCGGTGGGTGCCGGCCTTCCTGGCCGCCTTGCGCCGCACCGGTGGGGTGGCACCGGCGCTAGATAAACTTGGGAACCGGCAGTCATTTGGTAGACAATTAATTTGACTCTAAGATTAGGTAGGTACCTGATGGCAGGCCCGCGCCGGTCATCAGGTGAGAGAACGGGTCATTAGGTCAGATTGAGTCTCTCCCGGACTGACCACCGACCAGCAACCACTGACCACTGACCACTGACTCCCTCTCCCCGACAGGAACCCGCCTGCCCTGGGACGAGCGCTGGCTGATTGATTCGTCCACTGACCACTGATGTCTAACCACTGACCACTGACTCCCTCCCCAACAGGAACCCGCCTGCCGTGGGACGAGCGCTGGCTGATCGAGTCTCTGTCAGACTCGACCATCTACATGGCCTACTACACGGTGGCACACCTGCTGCAGGGGGGCGTCATCGACGGCTCGGCGCCCAAGCCGGCCATCAGGTCAGAGGATAGGGCCATTATCAGGACAGTGATAGACTGTCCTCCTAGTTGGTGATGGATCACTCACCCTCTTTTGTTATATCCGTTAGTTTCACTTGATACGAGCTTATAACTAGCTTCACACGAGTTTCCTAGCTGGCTATTATATAGTTGGTTTTTATAGTGGCTGATGTTTGATTCTACTGTGTCGACAAATCAGCCTGAAGCTGCTTGCTAGGTGCAGGCACTTAGTTATTTCTGCTTCTACTCCGTTTGCCATGCTGATGCACTGGCTTTCATGCCGCGAATCTATGACATTTTGATGGGTTATTAACCAGCAGCTAAGTGATTCAGTTCTTCTTAGTCAAATCTTGTCCTTGCTAAATGCCGTTACACATCAGATGCATTTTCTTCTTTTTCTTTTGCTTCATAAGCAAATCGAGGAATGGCCGGAAACGGAGAGTGAGGTAAGTGCAGTAATTTATAGATGTGCTTTTGGAGCGGAGTTCGTGGCTTGAAAGCTGAGCAGTGAGCATGTTCTGCTATGCTATTTCTGGTATTGGCCCTTACTTATATTTTTGGTGATTACTGATGTGTAGGGTAAAGCCGTGATCATGGTGGCATTTTAAAGATTTTTTGGTCTATTTCTTTAACTTTTAATGGTATTTAGTGGGATGTATTATTGTTCTCCGTTGCCCTCGGGTGTTCATTGATTTAATTTCACTCTTTGATGTGACATTGTTGCCTGCCGTACTGTTTGTTTCGTGATCTGTGTACCGTTGTGAGAATTGTGACACCGGACGGCCGTTCTGTTATGTACCGTATGAGCCACCAGTCGGCCCGCTCAGTCCGTCACTCCGTCCCACACTTGTAACTCACCTCGTCTCTTCCCGTCCGTTGCGACAGGCCCGAACAGTTGACACCCGACGTCTGGGACTACGTGTTCTGCATAACGCAGAAACCTCCGAAAACCGACATCCCGCGGAACCTGCTCGACAAAATGCGGCGCGAGTTTCAGTTCTGGTACCCGGTCGACCTGCGAGTGTCAGGTGAGTTCGACAATGGAACACCGGAGTCAGCGGTATACTCGTATTGTGCCTGTACGTCGCCAAAACTTCATCTTTTTACAGAGGGGGCATTCCACGATAGATCGTACCAGGCCCGTCACCCTCATCTCTCAGATTTTAATGAAAATCGGCCCTAGGGGTAATCATAGGCCCCAAAGACGCCTGGCAAAATATCAGACTTCTCAGATCAAAACTTTTTGAGTTATATTGCATTACATTTTTTTAACTTCAGTTTGTAACGGTGAGTTTGATGGCCTATAACTCAAGAACGGGTTTTGCAACCAACAAACGTGAAACAACACTAGGCTTGTGATGAACCAAAAATTGATATTACTTTTTAAAAATTCTAAAGAAAGTTTTTGATTGTTGAACAAAAACCTTAATCTTTTTTCATTTGCCTCTAATGACTTTTGGGACCATTTTTTTCACATTTTTATTTTTTTCAAAATAAACTTCATGTCATTGCAAATCGACATGCAAAAAATTAGAAAGGTGTTCTTTCTATAAGTTCCTCATTTTCCCGCAAACAAAATGGGTTTCGGAGGGGTTGATACGACCCCAGCACGCCGTTTCGCTTCTAATAGAGGTAGAGCCTCGCGGAAAAAAACGAGCGTGTGTGCCGTTACAAGTCGCAGCGATTGGTACCCAATTTTAAGGTCTCAGGTTAACTGGTAGCGTCTTAGGTCAGGTCAATTGACTGAAGTTACGGGTTCGGTTTTTAGTAAATAACTTCGCAAAAAATGGCCGCAGAGCCGCGATTTTGGTATCATTGTGTTCGTCTAGCTCAGGTACGTCGAATGGTATACTTTTTGTTAGGGTGAGGTCAACTTAAGTAGTTGACCTCGGGTCAAGGTCAGGTCAGAGCCCCTCAGGTCACGAAGCTGGGCAAAGGGTATCATATGGCATATCATTCGATTCGGAAGGTCTTCCCGAGTCCATTGGTGGCTTTCCCGACTCTCTAGCTCAATTTGATCGGGAGTTATTGACGAAAAACTCGTTCGACCCTATTGACGTCATAGATGACGTCACGCAAGGCTAGCAATGCAAAAGTGAAGCATTGGACTTTGCAAGGAGTGCATGAAATCACGATACCATGTACAGGTCTCGCGGGTTTTAGCGGTAGGTTTTGCACCTAGAAAATTTAGTGTACTTCAGGCTATATCTTCGTCGTCTTAGGCTTTTAACCCTATTCCTGGCGGGGGGGGGGGCCTCAGGAGCCCCCCCCCCCCCTGAGGTTTTTTGGTTATTTCTCCCAAACGCGTTGAGCTAGGAAGCTCAAATTTTCTGACTTTTCCTAAAAGGCTTCTACGCAACATGTCTGAAAATTTTGAGTTGATCTGACCTCAGGTCAGGTCACCAGAGGCGGTTTGGTGACCCTACCTCAGAAAAGTTTGCAATCACGCCAGAGCTAGAGTTTTTGACCGATCAATTTCTTCTCTTCAGGATTTAGTTAGGGTACCATTATGTGCAATTTGTATATCTCGGAATTTTGATATCAGTGACCTAAGGTCAGGTCAGTTTCGCGACCTCCCCATTATAAGTCAATGGGGGAAAAATCAACTCCCTGTTTTTACCACTAAAACGGGGGGAATGGCCCCATATACCATACATGACTTCATATACGATCAACCTTCACTACCTTGAGGTCTGTTTTGCTGTTGGGCAGCTGTGAGGTCATGTGACGTCATCAAAGGTCACCAAAGGTTTTTGGCCAATAACTCCGTACAGGAACAAGATACAGACGCGTGGATGGTCTCATTGTGTTCAGCTCGTCAAGACGCATCGAATGATATACATGATGACCTCGAGGTCACGTGACCTGAGGTCAACCTTTGACCTTGACCTTTCGATGTCACCATATATATCATTCGATGCGGATTGACGAGAGGATCACGATGATGCCCTTAGTTTGTTCCTATCTTGACTAATTCGAAAGTTATTCGAGAAAAACTCTCTCCATATCTAGCGCCGCCATTTTGACTTTTTCGACCCCTGTGACGTCATCTTTGACCTGACCTGAAAATGACCTTCGTAAAAATTGTAGATCTTGTCCATGCGTATCCGATGCCGTTTACCGCTTGTCGCTATCTTGCTTCGTTCTCGAGATCTCAGGGGGGGGGGGGCGAATCGGCCCCCCCCCCCCGCCAGTTTCTTGTCCCGGCGGAGCCCGCCAGGAATAGGGTTAAGTGTTGAAGATGCGATCGACTTGTTGGGTAACAAGCCGGCCATGATCGTGTAAAATGGCTTCATCGTAGATCGATTAGTTTCTGAGATATAACCGGAAATGTAAAAGTGCAAAACCTACCGCTTAATCTCGCGAGACCTGTACGTGAGATAGTTTTAGATCATTCTCGGCGCCAAAATAACATATTTTATATTTCCCCATTGACTTATAACAGTGATGTCACGTGACTCATGTGACCTTCAAAAATTCCCAGATATACAAGTTGTGAGACCTCTGGAGGACACCATGTATGCGTCCTGTAACTTTCATCTCGGACAGCTATGGTCATTAGCGTCCAAAACAATGTCAGAACCAAACAGCCTTTTTCACTCTCGCTGTTATAGGAAAGAGGGTTGGATGAACCCTCTTTTCATTTTTTTCAGATGACTAAGACTTCAATTGAAATTTCAGTAACCCGTGATGTCACAAGGCAGCTTTACCACGCCATTTGTAAGCTCCCCTCCCGAAATCACTATTCGAAACCGTTATCGTGACGTAAAATAAATACATTTATAGAAAGAACACCTTCCTAATTTTTTGCATACTTCTTAACAATGAGCTAAATATTTTTTTAAAGAAATAAAAATTCAAAAAAATTTGGTCCCAAAGTCCAAAAAATACAAATTAAAGAAAACTCGATGTCATATATCAAAAATAGCGTATTTTTCGAGATTTCAAAAATACATATTAATCTTTGTTTCATTGCAAGTTCAATGTTATTTAACATTTGGCATTTAAATAATCCGTCTTAGAGTTACAGCCCGCCAAACTTAGCGCTGCAAAGCAAGATCCAAAAAATGTTATACACCATAACTCAAAAAATACTCCTCTGATAAGCCTGAAATTGTTACAGGTGGATTCAGAGCCCTTGATTACCCCTGAGACCAATTTTCGTCAAATTCCGAGAGATGAGGGTGTCAAATTGGAAAAAAGTGGTACGATCTATCGTGGAATGCCCCAGAGGGCAGATTCGACGTTGTTGTCGGTAAGCGCACTTCACTCGCAATCGGGTTTTCTTCGTGTTATTTTTGTTGCGTATCTACAGCTTCATCCTGTTGTCTGCACGAACCGTCGCTATGCTATGCCTGTGCCGTGATCACGTAATTATTGGTGGCGTCTAACCCCTGACTGCCCACCCCTCCCCCAGGGAAGGACCTGGTGCCCAACCACCTGACGTACTACATGTACAACCACACGGCCATCTGGGCCGACCAGCCGCGCTTCTGGCCCAGCGCCATCCGCGCCAACGGCCACCTGCTGCTCAACTCCGAAAAGGTAGGGATCTGGATATTAACTATACATCCTGCTGCTCAACTCCGAAAAGGTAGGGCTTTGGGTATTAACTATACATCCTGCTGCTCAACTCCGAAAAGGTAGAAATCGAATTAATTATATCTGCTGCTCAACCCCCGAAAGAACAGAGCTCGAATTGCCTACACCTGCTACTCAACTCCGAGAAGGTACCTAGGGCTTTAGTTAATATGTGCTGCTCACCTTCGAATGATACGGTAGGGCTGACAAGAAGGAATTTACTGCTCGATGTGTATATTCTGTTGGGTCCAACTCTGTGCCGAAGGATACCTGCGGCTCGACTATAGGACAAGATCAGAGAGCAGATAAGGACCGCTCCAATATCATTTTCTTTGTCATCTTCAATAATTTTGTCACTCGGCGATTGTGAGGGTGTCTCTCGAGTCGGGTTTCGAGATTTATTGGTATTCTCAACGCTCAGCGTTCCCTGAATCTACATAGCGTACGCCTGTTCCCCACCCATGCCGTACGTCCACCCCGCTGACTGACCTCTGCCACCCCCTGACAGATGTCCAAGTCGACGGGCAACTTCCTGACCCTGCAGGAGGCCATCGACAAGTTCTCTGCGGACGGCATGCGACTCTCGCTGGCCGACGCCGGTGACTCGGTGGAGGACGCCAACTTTGTCGAGTCGATGGCAGACGCCGGTACGTCGTGCTGCAGGGGTCTTTGAAAATTATGTTAGATCCCAGAGCAATAAGTAAATTGTGCATCGTTTTTGTAAGGGATGGGCTGTAAAATGTTTGTCAGGGGCATTTACTGTGCTCCTGTATGGGTTAAGTGAAGCGAATGGTGCATGTGACAATGTAACATGGGGACTGGGATGTTGATGTCAAGGGCGTTTTCGATAAAATACTGAATGTAACCAAGTGTATGTAGCAGGTAGCTGTATCGATGATCATGATTTGGATGGTTACGGTCATAGATAACATGAATCTTTGTTATAGATTCATGTTATCTCTGTTACGGTGAATGTAACTGTGCCTGATTGCATCGTTCAGTTAGAATATCTCCCTGAAGTCTGTGAGTTTGGTGCTGTCAGCTTTACTTAAACGCGCCTGACGTCCCGTGTCTCTCCCTTCCGCAGGCATCCTGCGCCTGTACACGATGCTGGAGTGGGTGAAGGAGATGGTGGCCAACAAGGCGTCACTGCGCGCCGGCAGCGCCAGCTGCTTCAACGACCGCGTCTTCCTCAAGTAGGTCAACGGGCTCAACTGTGGCGGATGCGGCAATGAAGGCCCCATACTCTGGTATAGGACGTACTGTGCGATCTATCAGGTTTTATGCTTGCTGGATGAATAGGTACTCATTGGTCTGATATAGGCTGCTACCAGCAGGTGCAGCTGGTACAATATGATTGGTCATGCTGCCTGGTCTGGTTTTGTTGCCGACCTGCCCATCGTCTTTGATTACCGATTCTCTTTATGTGGGACCCTCGGGTGTGATGGTCTGCCCCATATCTTACCCGATGCGACAGTCCCACGCTTACGCTGAGATCTCCGTACGTATGTTACAGCGCCATCAACCATCAGATCGTGCAGACCCAGGCCAACTACGACAAATGTCTGTTCAAGGAGGCCCTGAAGACGGGCTTCTTTGAACTGCAGCTGGTGAGGACGTCGAGACAGGGCGCCATAAAACGTGGATGAATTTTAATGCTTAGTAATTCAGCCTCTACCTTACTTCCCACAGCCATGTTGCATTATGTTGGGGTAGGAAAAAAAACACTTGTCAATTTTAAACGAAATATGGCACTAGCACGACCGCGCAGTTAATACGCCTCCGCCATCCAACTCATGTTCTGCTCATGAACAGTCGGCATTTTGATAACATCAAATAGTAACCATCAACCATGTATAATAATTCATCCGACCACCCGCCCCCGCCTTTTCCAGGTTCGTGACACGTACCGTGAGCAGACCACTGAGGGTATGCACGTCGACCTTGTGTTCCGCTTTATCGAGGTGCAGGCGCTGCTGCTCAGTCCCATCTGCCCGCACGTGGCCGAGAAAATCTGGCAGCTCATCGGCAAGGTTAGTGATGTGTGAGAGCGGACAGAGAAGGGGGGGGGGGAGGTCAGCGATTCTCAATTCATATAGATGAATGATTGATGTTCCAATTATTTATTGTTGCCGAAGTGTGATCATGGTATGATTTTGATTCAAAACGGGGGTCCTTTTTTGGTATTTCTCACTCAGTTCGGTTCGTCATGGTATAGTGTCCAACGGACTTAGCAGACTTGCTTCCGACGTTCATCCATCCTTTTCTGTTTGTGTTACCATTAATCTTTGTATTTAGGACGGAAGTATTCAGTTTGCCCGGTGGTGTTACCGTTTCTCTGTGTGTTCAGGAGGGAAGCATCCAGTCGGCGCGGTGGCCGACGGCCGACCCTGTGGACCCCATGCTGCTCAAGAAGGCCGAATACCTCACCAACGCCGTACACGATTTCCGAATCAAGTACAAGAACTACATGACGCCAGGTCAGTCATGGACATCTGGGCTTAGTAATATAAATTTTCTGTCTTATTGCAACATCACATTCATAGACATTTGATAAGGCTTTCATAGTTAAGGTTTTTGTCCCTTTATTTTTTTTTCACGTATGATCGAATAAATAGACTAATGACTCATTCAGCCGACTCAATTTAACGTTTTATGCTTCAAACATCTAGCGATTGACTTATCATTGTTTGTAATATTTATTACGGAGCGAGCGAAGCGAGCGGAGTCTCATACTGAATTAAGGGAAAATCCTGAGTATGAGCGGCCGGCCGGCCGTGGGGACGCTCTTCAAAAGCTAATATCTTAGGAACGGGCATAGGTGGGCACGATCCGTTCCTCCGTTCCTCCGTTCCGGAACGCCGTTACAATTTTTAGGAACGGAGGAACGGACTCGTTACATTTTAAAAAGGGTAACGGACCAAGTAACTTCCGTTACATTGGTTGTTCGTTCCTCCGTTACAAGTTAACAGTTTAGTCCGTTCCGTCGTTCCTCCGTTACTTTTCGTTGTCCGAGCGGGTTGATCTTTCACCGAACCACAGACATTAATGCAGCAGCGGAATAGTGGATTATTGAGCAGCCCTGACTTGAAGACGGAAGATGGCCTCAGTGTACAGTGTACTGGCCTTCCGCAATGAGCCGGCGTTGCAGTATGTGTTCGCAAAGTTCAACACGGGCGTCCCTTCAAGCGCCTCAGTAGAGCGCATGTTTTCAATGGGAAAAGATGTGCTACGTGCAAAAAGTGCTACCCTCTCAGAAAGTGGCAGCGGAACATCTTCAATTAAGGGAGAGGGGGGGGGGGTCACTGCCGACTTTTTGTCCCATTCTTTCCATGCAACGCACATAGGGCTAATGTTAAAATGCCAAAATCAAAGGGGGCACGGTGCGCCGGTGCCCCCCCCCCCCCGTTCCGCCGCCTATGCTCTCAGATGCCAACCTGGAACGTCTAGTGTTCGTGAAGGGCAGCCGGCATCTGGCCGGGGACAAGTGATGCGCATCAGTACCACCAGACGTTCCAAGGTTTAGTGTCCAATCAGTGCCCACTGTCTTGGTAGATTTGGTGGGCATTCCGCTTTCTCGGTAGGTTTAGTTTGTGTCAGAATGGTCTCAAAAATGTGTGAAATACCCAACATTTTAACGTTTTTTATTTTGCTGTAACGGAGTAACGGACTAAAAGAACTTCCGTTACATTATTTGCAGAGGAACGGAGGAACGAGTAACGGAAGTCACGTTTTGAAGGAACGGAGGAACGAGTAACGAAGTTACAATTTTGGGGAACGATGCCCACCTATGGGAACGGGACATCCGATTGACAAGCGGTCTTCTTTACTGAATGTCACTTGGACGTAAAAGTTCTGTGGTGTGATGGCCACCATGCGTTCTTGCCAACCACCGCACGTGGCGCGTGGTAAAGTTGGACATTTTTTAAGAACCCCCAAAATTGCAACCTCAATAACGGCACAACGGTTGGGCTGATTGAATTGAAACTCGGTACACAGTTAGGTCTCCATCAGATAATTCATCTGCATGTGTTAAGGTTGGGGTGCTACAGCACGTGCGCACGTGCAGGGGGCGCTCCCAGATCTCGAGAACGGCTGGGCCGATTGCGCTCAAATTTGGTACACGGTTGGGGACCAGTTAGTAGGGTGCCGTGCAAAAGTCAGTTTGGACCCCGCTTGCACGTGCGCACGTGCAGTGTGCCGCTTCCAGATCTCGAGAACGGCTAGGCCGATTGCGCTGAAATTTGGCACATCGCTAAAGACCGGTTAGTAGGGTGCAGTGCACAAGCTAGTTGGAGGTACCCCCTCGCAATTTCGCACGTGCAAGGCCCATCCTCTCGCTCGCTCCGTTGGTCGCCCAAAAGGCGTTTTACTGGTTCATTCGTTCTGAAAGTTATTCTTTCATCCGTGCCCTGACTGCGAAGTCCCACTTCTATCCACCACGCTCCTTAGGCAAGCCGAAGAAGGGCGAGGCGCCGCGCGTGGTGGAGGCTCCGTCTCACGGCACGGTGTGGATCGCGCACAGCTACCCGCCCTGGCAGGCGTGCGTGCTCACCACGCTCAAAGAGATGCACACGGTGAGTTCTGCTGTCCGCACTGCCTGCGCTCAAGTGGCAGGCTTAGTTTGTGGATTGTGTCATGGTGCTAACATGTGACGATTGCTTCAGATCTGCTGCTAGATTGGGATCCAGTGCGATCTAAGCTCTGTGCGATATCCATTGATATCCCTCGAGCTGTGGCTCATGGGTATCTCGTCAGCGTCTATAATAGCTTTCAATTTTTGCCAGGTTCTCATTTCCATGGTGTGTCAAAAGTGGAAATAACTAGCCGCCCGGCTTTAGTTCGCCAGCCTTGTCAATAGATGGCAGTACCACAATATGGGCAGCGGATCGTGCCATTGACGTCAAATTTTCGTTATCTGCTAAGAATTGAATGGCGGATCTTTTCATGCAAGAATCAAGTAAATCGGTCCACAACTTTTCTAGCAACAGAGATATGAAGTCAAACACCCTGCCAGAGCGGCGGCCGGCGGTGGCCGTTACGCGCCGCCTGGGAGACTGGCGGCGCGGAACGGTTCCGACTTGGCACTGCACTAAAACCTGTTAACTGCTTGGAATAGTTATTATGGCAAAATTTTCATTCAAGTGAGGAATAACCAAGGGCAGGAAGTATGTATGCTTGTGTGCGTACTGTGTAAGCCAAGAAACTGCATTAGCAGATACTCGCTAGTATTAGATCCAGCCAAGTCCAAACGCATTCCAGGGGATGTGTATCTGATGGGTCAACAATATTTATCGTTCGAGGGCGGATACAGTTTTAACAATACAAAAAATGTTTTTGCACAGCTCTATTCCTTGAATAATTCTCTTCAACGCCTCATTCCTAGTTAAGCGAATTAGCCCACCCTGGTTGAATAAATAAGGCGATTTCGCCACAAGGTCGCGGAAAACCGACCGAAAACGGCCGCGCTCAACGTTAATTTGGGCATGCAGACTCTTAAAAACTCGCATTGGGCGGGTAGGGTTTCACAGGTATTGGCTCCAAAACACCGTATTCGGCTCCCGAATACGTCCAAGTGACCCGCCTCGTTCCAAGTTAAGATCTAATTAGATCAAGTGACTCATAAGGAGCGAAAAAGCGACAAAAAGCATGAATTTCCCTATGGCGACGGGCTGCCGAGTTGCCAGACGGCGCACCGGCTGTTTCCACTTTTGACACACCATGTCGTGATCATGTCATTGAATTCGCATATGTGTTGCGATCTCGCAAATCACCAAACCTCTGATCGGTGCGTCGGTGCACACTGATAACCGGTGACTGGCTCGTGATCTTTGGCGATCAGTGGTAGCTAGGTCGCTGAGCTAGCTGCTGTTCGGTGATAGTTGGCCGCGGTTGATCACTAGACGATGAGTTAACTCATTAACCCGGTGCATGTTTGCAGGCAAACGGAGGCAGTTTCCCTGACAAGAAGGCCATCGCTGCAGAGATGGGCAAGAAGGCAGAGCTGAAAAAGTACATGAAGAAGATCATGCCGTTCGTGTCAGTCGTTATCGACAAGGTCGGTGAAAATAATCGATCACTTACAAAATAATGTGATATTTGGTAGGGCGCTGCTAATTTGACGGGACATCCTGACTCGTGCTGTCATCAACCGACTCTCCATTTTCCTTCGACAGGTCGGCATTGTTGGTATGCAGGCTCTCAACCTCACTCTGGACTTCGACGAGCGGGAGGTGCTGCAGGCGAACCTCGAGTACCTGGTCAGCACGCTCGAGGTGAGGAACAGGCCCTCCCCGCGCGAGGAGATTCGCGATGGGATACGGGATCTTGCAGCGATGTTGGCATGATGGCATGAGGTAGATTCCACCACCCGTCGACGTCGTTGTGTTGTTTGGAGTATAGAGGAAGACTCCTGCCCTAATGATTCTATAAAACGGCTGTGTGATTGTCTGCGACCGCTCCCGATACCCCGTCTAGTTTTTTTTTGTCCCTCCTTTTGCCTCGCCCTCTCTGACACGCAATGGTTCTGTTCTAGCTCTAATAGACTTTTACATACCCCTGCCTGCTGACGCTCTCTGACCCTCTCCCTTCGTTCGACGCAGCTGGAGGGCCTGAACCTGCGTCTTTCCACCGAGTCGCCCGACGAGCGTGTGCGCGAGGAGTGCTGTCCGGGCGCCCCGTACGTCCAGTACCGCGCCGAGCCGAGCGTACCCCTAGTGGCGGTCAACCCGCAGCCGGGCAGCGGCCTGTTCCAGGTGAAACTGGCCGTGAGAGAGGGCGACACACCGCGTCGCGTCGCTGTGCGGCTCGCCAGGACCGAACGCGCCGTCAAAGGTTCGTGAGGTGTCTGGAAGGTGGGCGGGGCGGGGTAGCTGACGCATGAGTAAGAAAGTGTTCAAGAGACAGCTGCAATGAGATAAGTTTTTTTTTAGGGAGTGTGTCGCGTACTCGAGCGTATTTTCATGATCATGAAATATGACGTGAAGCTTCGCTATGAGTCAATGTCTGAAATATATGTCCAGCTGGGCTATGGGCTGGGTGCTTGTCTATCCTAATCTCCCTTTTCCACTTGGCCCCTTCTCTGTACGGTAGTCCTGTTCGTATTAGCTGACCGCCTCGCTCCCCGGCAGACGCCACCCAGGTGCGACTGCTGCGATACACGGACCCGCAGCTGGGGCCGCGGCAAATGCCCGTGTTCGGAGAGCCAGCCGCCGGCAAGGAGATGCTGGGCGAGGACGTCACGTTCCACATCGACACGGCGCGTCAGGAGGTGACGTGCCGACGCGCCGGCCAGCCGCTGCCCATCGGCGACCAGCTCGTCTACATGGTGGGCGCGTGATGACCGTCCCAAGATGGCAGCCAGAGGTGGCTCCTCTGGTGACTAGGGACTAATCAAGTGGACCGGCTCCCGCAAGCTGGCCCAACTTGTCGCAGAATTTCCGCGAGGGTTGTTATTGGTTTTTACGGGAGTTTTTAGGGGAGGGTTCCTCATGATTGGGATTTTGTTGGTCAGCACTCAAGGGAAATGGTGTTAAGCGGTGAATTTGCAACACCAAAAGGCTTTAAAGAAATGTTCTGTCCCGGCGACACAGGGTGCACGGTTCTCTGAATTTTGATTCGAAATAAAACAATTGACTATTGACGAATACCGGCGTTTTTTTCCTTTCTGAGCGAACTTGGGATTTATTTTTTCACTAGTTGTAATTGTCCTTTGCGGACACAAAAAAAAAAACAACAAATATCCGCCTTTGTAAAGTAACTTGCGCCTTTATAGGCAGGGTAACTTTTAAAGGGGGGAAAGGGGGAATTTCCCCCCTTCGAAAATTCCGCTCCCCCTTTCAAATTGTGCGTGAACGGCTAGGGAGGGAAGGGGGAATTTCTCCCTTTCAAATTTATTTTTGAGCCCATTTTCAATCAATTCGCTACTCAGATTCTATAATCATCGTTGGTCAGACTCTAGTCATCAATCAACGTTGCTGAATGCTGGCGCTTAGATAATTTTCAATTTGAGGTTCCATCCAACCATTTTACGTTCAGTGCAGCGGGAACTCCAGATTTGACCCGATACCGATCGGATGGTCGGTGGGACCGTCTCTTGTCTCTTCCTTCTCTTCGCAATCACTGACAAATATCGCTACAGGCGTCGGCGTACGAGTAGAAAGCGTCGGGGGACGGACGGGGGTCATGACCTCTCCGAACCAAGGGTCTTCCTTCGAACCAGGGTCCTTCAATCGGTCTTGGCCTAGCAAAAATAGTCACGTGTTAATCTCTCTCTATTTAGAAAGGCACTACTTGATGTTTGGCCAGGGTAATAGGTTGATACTACTGATTGACATTTGCAAGGGCGCAGTCAAGTTGGGACCGCCCCCGCCGCTTACCGCCAAGGTAGGTACCTACGTATATTTTTTTAGCTAATTTATTTTTTGACAACCTAACAATATAAAGTGGCCAGAATCCGGGGAGAGAGTAGGATTTGGGGGTAGGTGAGGTTCTGCAGGCGCCATCCTAACAAAAACCTAATGGCATTGGGCCCCCTTTTCAGATGCCCCTGGATTCGCCCTTGCCCCGAACTTTATTCCCCCTCTCGACTTTTCCTGTAAAAGTAACCCTGTTTATAGGTCTAGGGGGAGGGGGAGGTGTATTAGTAAAGTAATCTTGGGGGAGGTGCATCACGTTTTGGGCAGGCGGTCCAATGACGTCATGAGCTTCATTTTACTCACGACTTATTTGATGGAGCGCTCGGAATTTCGACAACCTTGAATGCCGTGAGTTGAGTCAGTTTCGTTTTTTTGTGACGATTTATTATTCATATTATTTTGGGTATTTATTCGATCTTTGTTGCTGATTTATCTAGACTGGCTCAGACAATGGTGCATATTAAATAGGGAATCTTTCCTGACATAGTTGACTTGTATAAAACAAGGTGCACGGCAATCGTGGATTTTGAGCTCAAGCATGCCGAACAAGCAAACTTTGTAGGTACCTTTGTGCCTATGTCAAAGCTTTGAATCCTAATGTCATTATTTCCTGACTGTATTTTGATTTTGATGGAAATATCTGTTACTATTTCAACTTAGTTGGGTCCAGTCAGTCCTCGCATCCAATTCATGCGGGTGCCTACCCCGACCAGGTGCATTTTTTATATTAAAGTGACCATCCCACCTTAACATTAGTTTTGAGATAGCCAAAATGGGGTCCCTGGCCTGCACTTACCGGTTTGAGCACTCACAAGAGCGAGAAATGCCTCAAATAGAAAATATCTAATTTCAAAGTTGCAGCACTTGGATTCACAGAGGGGCTAATGCATTAGAATGCCCCCTTTGAATGTGTGGCGTCTGCGCAGATCTAACGATTTTAAATCTTTTACTAAATAAAATGTTTGGTAGCGCATGGTGGTATATGCTGCTTTGCATGCAGCAAGTGCCGCACTTTCAAGCAAAGTAGCTAGGAACAGCAGAGATCCCATAAAGTAAACACAAAAGTAAAAGTAATATCTTGAAAACCGGTGAATATCTTTCGATGAAATTGGTAGATATTTGTTTTCGCCCTTTCTGAACCAAGCGACATCATTTCATGCCAATTCATTAACTTTTTGAAGGTGGGAGGGTCCCTTTAAAGTTTGAATACTGTTTGCTTTGACCAATTACCTCTTGAGTTGAGAGGAAGATGAGTTGGTTGCCATGCTTGGTGTGGCCATGAAATGATGACCACTGTTGTTAGTGACAGAAGCTACTGTTATTGATATGATGAGTAGCCACTCTTGAGAATTAGTAGAAGTTGTAGTTAAGCTTGTCAGGGTGGTCCTTCCATTCTTTGCCAAGTCTGAACTTAAAAACACTGACATTTGTTGCTTCAACTTAGGACAGCTTGTTCCACGCCTGAATCACTCATGCCGAAACATGAGGAAACTGCAATTCTGTTAAGTTCTTTGTCATTGATGTTAATACAGTAAAACATGGTGGTGGTATTTGATGAGGTACTGCTACCATGGCATATTGTTTTTTTAAAATTTAATTGCATACTGAAGTTAGGCAGAGGGCACTTCAAAGTTCAACCTGACACATGCTATGGGCTATAGCTATGTCAGGGCACTAATAGCACAGTTATACAATTAGGTATACAAACATTTATGGATATCACTCAGATCAGCCTGGTATGCTCATTGCTCACCCACAAGTATGCAACCTGTTGGAAAACTATGGGGTACAGAGCAGGGCACATGTCAGAATATAGGACAAGGCGCATGCCAGGGCACAGGATAGGGCACTGGGCAGGAACACAGCAGGGCACAGGGTTTCTGCTTATTCTGTTTATCTCACAACATTGCCAACAGGCAGCGCACATTGAGAGGCAAAGTCAAAAGTGGTAGGAACATGAGAGAGCAAAGGACAGGGCAGCACAGAGAACAGGGTAGGGTATGGGGCAGGCTGGGAAGGGCGTGGGACATGGCACAGGGCAGGGAACAGGGCTTACAGAACAGGCCGCCCAGAAATGGGATGCAGTAAGTGCATTACAATATGCCCTGACTGTTACAGGGCCCAAGTCAGTTGCTCCTTTTGTGACAGTATTCTGGCTGTCCAAACCACCTCTGTCTGAAACAATATCAGGCTAAAAGACCTCATCAAGCTAATTGCTGCCACATTTCTCAGACTGGCCAATAAGGACATGCTAGTCAGTGGCATTGAGCAATTACTTAAGGTTTAAAGGATATTCATCTTTGACAGTATCAAGCAATTCCAACTGCCAACATCACATTGCTAGTATCTCCAGTGAAGTTCAGATAGTTGGCTCAAATTTTGCCCACAAGCATAATCAGAAATGTAGGTGCAATTTTAGAAAAATGGACAAAAACTAATAAAAATGATACCTAGTTCCAAGCATAACACCATGAATGCTACTATCCCTATCCCTTCCTCAGGGCAGAAACTACATCATAAGGCGATTTACCATCAGACAAATATTGGTGCATTCATTACAATGAGACAAGATTGCATTGCCAATGTTTCTGTAATCATCATTTTATGTTTTGATGTACAGCAAGTACTGGCTACTGCATATTCTTGACAAAGTTATTTTGATTTCAGATTGTGACTGAATAGCTCATCACTGGTTGTCCTTCTGGATCCACCACCAACCACTGTGACCTGCGACTCCGGTGGTATCAGCGATGGGAGACGCCGGCGGGGAGCTGCAGTATGAGCCGCTGCCGTACCGGGACCTGTGGCCGGTGGTGGACGAGCTGCTGCCGCCGCTCTCCAGGCCGGACGCGGAGCCGGGCGGCGCGGCGCAGTCGACCGAGGCGCTGCTGGACGCCCACCTGCTGCTGGAGGCGCCGTTCGCCGCCGGCGGCGACCCGCTGGAGCTGGTGCTGGCGCCACCCGAGACGGCTGAGCCGGCCGGCGGTCGCGCCGCCCGCCTCCTCTATGGCAGCGTAAGCGCTGACGGAGACCGACTCGTGCTGCGGTTCCGGCTGAGCGACGAGACCGGCCAGCCGGAGCGCAGCGGGCTCTGCAGCCTCTGTGACGGGCACGTGGACCTGTTCCGTGCGCACGAGCACAGCGTCCAGGGCCGGTTCGTGCTGTCCGGCGACTGTGTGGTGCTCGAGGTGGGCGCGGTGGCCTCCCAGTGCCAGCCGCCGCCGCCGCCGCAGACTGATCCTGGTCTGCACACGCCGCCGTCTCACCCGCCGCCGTCGCAACTGTCGGCCGCGTTTCATGCGATGTCCACGCCGCCGAAACCACCGCGGCCTCCGCAGCAGCCACAACAGCAGCAACAGTCATTTATGCACGAACAGCAGAAACAGGAGCACTCGCTCCCTTATCAGCAACATCAACAACAGCAGTCACTCCAACAACAGCTGCAGCAGTTGCCTGTACAGCAACAGCAACAGCAGCAGCAGTCGCATTCGCTACAGCAGCACTTACAACAGCATCATCAGAATCCAGTGGTATCAGGCCCGTCTCAGCTGCCACTGCCTTCAGTCTCCCACCAACCTGCACTGAAGTCATCGCCACTGCCCCCTCCGCAGGACGTCAAAGATGAGACTGACGGTCGGTGTCCACCGCCCGCTCAGCAGGAGCAAGAGGAATGTGAACCCGAGCCTGTGCCAGAGCCTGCCCCGGTAGAGGACGACAAGCCGACGCACGTGTGTCACGTCTGTCAGAAGGCGTTCAGAACACGCCGCGTGCTCAACAAACACCTGCTGAGTCACGGCAGTGCCACCCACGCGTGTGACCAGTGTGAGAAGACGTTCACCCGTCTGGACCGACTGCGGCGCCATCAGCAGAGCCACGGCTCCGTGCGGCCGCACGTCTGCCCCATCTGCCAGAAGGGCTTCAACCGGCGCGAGTACCTGCTGCAGCACTCGCGGGTCCACTCGGGCGACCAGCCGTTCCAGTGTGACGTCTGCGGATTGCGCTTCAGCATGCACTCCAACTTCGCCATGCACAAACGAGTGCATGCACAGGTGAAACGTTTTAAATGTGGTGTGTGCGATCGGGGCTTCAACAGAATGAGTCACCTGGACTCTCACATGAGTCAGCACACGGGTGACAAGCCGATGGTGTGTGAGAAGTGCGGCCTGCAGATACCCACCGCCGAGCGACTGCGGCGACACATGCTCGTCCACCAGGAGGAGAAGGCCTTTGCCTGCCCCGTCTGCGCCCAGCGCTTCCGCAGGAAGGACAAACTGGACGCTCACATGGAGAAGCACGCCACCGGGCCGGGCCACGCGTGCGACCAGTGTCCGCGGGTGCTGGCGCGGGCCGAGCTGCTGCGGCGGCACGCGCGCCAGCACGCCGACCCAAACAAAGTGCAGTGTCCGACGTGTTACAAGTTCTTCAGCGGCGCGGCGCGGTACCAGGCGCACGCCAAGCGCCACCGTCCACCGGTGACGGAGCCGGCTCCTCATCACTGCGGTCTCTGTCTGAAACCCTTCCGCCGACCGAGCGTTCTGCGGGCGCACATGAAGGCCGTGCACGACCGTCCGCTGCCGGGCCCGACGCGCCTCATCAACAGCCGCCCGCTGGCCTTCCAGTGCCACCTGTGTAAGCGCGCGTTCACACGCCAGCAGACGCTGCGGGCGCACATACAGCGTGTGCACGAGGAGCCGGCACCGGTGGACGAGGACGACCCGGCGGCGGTCGAGCTCCCGGCGCCGGCTGAGAGCGAGCAGCCGCCGCCACAGCAGCAGCAGCCGCAGCTGTCGGCCGCGTCTTTCATGCTGTCCTTCCCGTCATACCCGTTCTGACCAGACGGTGACTGGTGAGTGGCCTCAGTCGCTGCGGATGGTCTTTGCCGCTCTTGGACTGTCAGGGTGCTGTCTGGGAGGCTGTCTGTGTGAGGGACTGTCATTATACCATGCTGTCACTGCCACACAGCAGAAGTCACTCTGTATTACAGTTGTGCCCGTGGTACGTGTCTGGTCACGGTTTTGTGCCAAGGGGGGGGGGGAGGGGAGGTTTGTGAAGCGGTGTGATCGTTTTCAGTCATGCAGCTCTTTGTTTGATCTCTGTGAAGCAGGATGCATTGTAGTATTTGATACGATGGGCCTTTTTTACGGCGTCTCAGCACAATGTGTGGATGAAGGCTTTTGTGCATGGGTTATGGCAGTTGTAACTTGTAAAACGCTTTGTCATTTTGAGCCTTCTTGAATGGCTATTTTCGATGTGGTTTGAGTACTTTCTGAGAGTCAACAATTCTAAGTCAGATAGGTGACTGCCATTGGTATTTAGGGCTTGGCAATCTGTGTTGTGTTCAATTCTTATGGTTCGTGTCATTTAGACAATAACAATGAATTCATAAGTAAATGTGTTTGTGGCTGAGTTGTTATGAAGCATACCTAATTTGAGCGAACACGCATTATTAACATTCAACGCCTCCAACGAGTGCCGTACGTGTGTCGTGTACATTACTGATATGGACTGTATCAACCCAAGAGAGCAACCGGACCAGTCCTGTCTGTCCCTGACGATCAGCTGCAAACCGCGCGAACCGAACCGTAACCTCGGCCTGTCATCTCTGAGCCCTCCGTGACGCCTCTGGGCCGATTTCGTCACCATCCGGTGACATTAGCCCCTGCGTCCTGTGCCTCGACATGCACTGTCCTCAAGGTCGGCAATCCGGCTAAGTTACCGCCGCGGAACAGGAGATCCGGCCTGCACAATGGCACATCCGTCCGGCGGCCGACACGGTGGTGTGACCCGAGCGGCCGCCGGCGGCGCCGTGACCTCGACCTGCGGCTGACCTCGGTCAGCGGAGAAAGGCCCAGGGTCTGACCGACGGCACAGGTCCTGGGGCGACACTCGGCGACGGTCGGTGGTCCGGTCACGACAGGGGACTCGTGAGCGGTAGAGGGACGCTCAACAGGGGTGAGGTGTGGAATCTTCTGGCCGGTAAGACGTGGATCTTCTTGGGTACGTTCCTGCTGTTCTGAGGGCTGGCCAGCTGTCGCCGTGCTTCGACTCGACTGAATATTTCACGCCGAGGGATGGAGCTGCACTGTAAAGTGCTAATGGTGAGCTGGCTTCTTTTGATGTCTGACTGTTGTGGTTGTGTCATTAGATATATCATTGTCTTCGCCAAGCTTCGCGGAACTTGGGCGTTACGAATCTATTTTGGTGAACATTTCGAGAACGTAACATAAACATTTCGAGAACGTAACTGAGTTTTGAATGGGAGCTTGGCTCAGTCACAAGTAGTTGCTCGCGTTGCATCATGCTCGTTTCCGAATAAAAGAGTTCTGGTGGTCAAACCGCCAAAATGTCTTAGCAAACTTAAAGCTAGGCATAGAAGTGATACATGTAGACTAATTTGAAACATTCACTTTCCCGTGTTTGAGCATATAATTTTCAGTAGTCACGTTCCAACGAATGTCGTGCTGCTTCAATTCATAGCATGCGAATGCTCGCCTCAACCATTCCGCGCATCCATGCGCCTGACATTTCTTATAACCTCCAGGTTATGCTACTATGGACAGCTACCACTGCCGCAGTCTCGGAATCTCCGCTGAGTTCAGCAGTCGACAACGGTCTCACCTCAGCAATAGAGGAGGTGGCCGCACCAAACGGTGAGTACCCACCCCCTTCCGTCGGCGGAGGGTGACTGCTGACCCGTGACGTCATGCTCCGACGCTGCGTCGCCGGACGAGACGGGTCGCAGACGGGCCATTGTCTCTCCACGCAGTGCGACGCCTCGCTAAGGTCGTCACGCGGCCCGCGCTCGAAACAAAACACAGACCCTCCGAGGGATACGGTGCGTGACCTGACCTAGGCCTCTGCGTGCCGTCTCAGAGAGCAACCGTCGTGGCTCGTTGAGACTGACCCTGACATCAGCGTAACACTGACCTAGAACGAACAACTCAGATGCTGCTGATTCAATTAGTCAACAAGGCCCTTATGTAATGAAATGAGCTGAGAATGCTAATGCTGTAGTCTTGATGTCATCATTATAGCACATCTTGCACCAGCAAATTGCAATAATTGCTCGTAAAACTATGGACAAGTGACTAGCTACATGCTCCTGACACTCGTCACCTTAGCTACCTGTCCTCAGTCTTTGTGCCATTTCTAACCGTTATTCTCCATCCTTCCAGGCACCGTGTCCCGGCTGGGCCGCGGCTCCGACTCGGGCAGCGGTAAGGTGCTGTTCCCCGACCAGCCGGCGGCGGTGGAGGGCCGCCACGCGCCGTGGCAGCACGAGCACGGTATTCTGTCCGGTACCGCCGAGCCGCAGACTCCGGCCATCCCGCGCTCCGCCTGCCAGCAGTACCCCGACGCCGGGCCCTGTTCGGGCCACGTCACCGCCTGGTACTGGGACTCTGGCGAGGAGCGCTGCAAGACCTTCCACTACGGCGGCTGCAAGGGCAACCGCAACAACTTCATCACGCAAGACGAGTGCCGCGCCGTCTGTGACATTGGTCCGTACCAGGCGGGGTTCGAAATCCGTGCTAAATGGGACTTTTTCTCTTGATGGGTAGGATTGCTACTATTCCATATCCGCTAATCGGGTTTCAGTCAGTTAATTTTGAGTATTGTTCTTGTGTCCGAATTAAATTTCTTTTGGTCAGTGTGGCAATAATCCGGCTGGGGCTGGCCTTTCTATTATGCTTCGTGCTGACAGACACCTGGAAAACATACAGCTCTCCGCCGCCTGCGCTAATATTATCCCTCCTCTGTCCTGTTTCAGAGTACATCCAGACAGTGACGGGCAGCAGCCAGTTCCTACCTCGTCCAGCGGCCAGCCGACACCGCTACCCGGAGAGTGGCGACCCTTTCACCGCAGCTGACAGCGCCCACTACCGACCGGAGAGCAGTGGCTACTCCAGCCGTCCCTCCTACCCGTCCTACCACAAAGACCGCCCATCCTACCACAAAGACCGTCCCTCCTACAACGCCGGCGACCGACCGTCCTACCCAGCAGACAACTCCCACCAGTCCTACCCAGAGTACGGCGGTCACTACTCTCACCCCTCTCCCGACCGGCCCTCCCGGTACCGACCGGGGTCAGCAGGAGGTCAGGCGACCCTGCAGGAGATTGGTGAGGTGGACGTCACTGGTCTGGTCTCTCCGCCGTCTCGGCCGGCTCTGTTTCCGGAGAGACCGGTCGGCTGTGCCGCCGAGGAGCCCATCTGTGACTACGACCACGACGACTACCCACGGTGAGTAGGCACTGCGGAGCTTAGTGTGGGCGCTTAAATGTTCCATTCATCCATTTTTATATCCTTCAGATCGTTCGTTTGTTCGTCCATTCGTTCGTCGATTCATTCATTCATTCATTCATTCATTCATTCACTATCATTTATTTGATATTTCTTCCATTCATTCATTCATTCAGAATCTTTTGTAGACCTGGCCTTGAGATGATCCCACAGGAAAAAATCCATCCTGGTCAGGTCAGGTGATCAGACAGGCCAGTTCCGACAGGCACTGCGGGATATCAGCCGGTCACCAAAGTGGTTCGCGCTCCACTTGAGCGTTGTTTCGCGATGTGAGGAGGCGCACCGTCTGGCTGGAATCACATGAGGTCCATGAGACTGCCATACTTCGTTTGGGCTCACTTCAACAACTTCTTTAGCGTCGCTTGGTAGCGCTTTTGGTCGTCAGTCACGGTGTTGTCGCTCCCATCCTCGAACCGAAGTGGAACTGGCCTGTCTGTCTTTTCATCTGACCTATGGATTCCTTTCCTGTGGAGTCATCTCAAGGGCCAGGTCTACAAGGAAGGTTATGTAGGCCTCTGTTATCTGAAAAGAGCGATCACCAAGGCTGTGCGAGTCATACCAGAGTACATGTGTCATCGGGCTATCGCGTCAGCCGGCAGGCGGGCCGCTCTGTGCATTCACTCCTTCATTCATTCATTCATTCACTAGTCGTCCATTGGGTATTTAATTGGGCCAGTTATTTAATTTTGTACCACTGCATACAGTTATCGCCAAGCAGCTAGCATTCTGAATATGCTGGCCGTTCACTGTTGACCCGACCCGCTCTCGCTTCCCTAACCACTTTGCCCTGCCGTGCCGTTGCCGCCAGGTCGACGGTGGACAGTATCGTGGGCCGGTACACGGCCGAGCTGCGTCAGATGTACGAGCAGCTGTACCAGTACCCGCCCGAGGAGTTCCGCTGGCACGACAACGGCACACTGGACGACTCCCGGTAACGCTCGGGGAGGAGAGGGGTCAGTGCAGGCTATAGAGGCACATATTGGGTGACTCATTTCAACGGAAATTAATTAGGTCCTATCGTAATGGGAAATTACCTATAGATAGAGGTCTCCTCCCGAGTCCTAAGGACCTAAATAGAGGGACGCTACAGATGACTAGACTTGCCATTCATGGGTTTCTGCCACCCTGCCATCGGGATAGGATTTGGAGGGTCCAAACTGCAGAAGCTTTCCCATTATTACGGAACAAAATGATAGCTGCGATAAGCGTAACCTTTCGGGGGAGGGGGCTGCGAATAACCGGTAGAAAACGTGATCAATTTCAGTACCGTGCCGCTCTACATTTGCTCTCGCTGTGTTCCGTGTTGTGACTCGTGGCCTGTGACCTCCCTGTCGTGATCTATGACCTCCCTGCCGTGACCTGTGACCCCTGTGTGTCCCTTACCTCCAGGAGTCGGACGGCAGCCGACTCCGTGTCGGCCCGCCACGGTCCCGGCGAGTTTGTGTGTGAGTCGGAGGTGCGCTACAGCCGACCGGGCTGGGCGCGCACCTTCGCCGGCCTCTGGCAGCTGGTCATCAACACGGCCGCCCTGCCGCAGGCCGTGCGCACCGAGCGGTGCAGGTCAGTTCATATGACCCATATTACATATACCCCTACCCCACAAAGCGTGTTGTATTTTGCCAATATCTGTTTCATTGGCTAATGTGATACCGATTCGCAGTGTATCACCAAGCGTAAAACAGCTGTCCTCACTTTTCCGGTCTATCTGGAACGAGCGTGTCTTTTACCCACAGCTTTCCGCTGATACAGGTCGGACATTAACTGGTTCTTTTCACTCCCCTCTATTACCTGCCCTGCGCGCCTTGTGTTCACCTGGCATATCCAATTGCGACTCGTTTGGCTCACAACGGCCAAATGTTTTCGAATGGATTTGCCCCTAACACCGTTTGCCCAAGTGTTTTTAGACATTGATGGTAGGTACTTAATATGTCTGCTCTCGCTTCTTTCCGCCATTGGCAGGTACGAGGGACACCGCTGCAACTTCCTGGCGCCGTGCATGTCTTCTGTTTGCGTGCAGCGGTTCGCCGTGGTCAAGATGCTGTGCGCCGACCCGCGCAACCCGTTCGTACGGCCGCGCCTGCAGGACGTGCGGATTCCGTCCGGCTGCTCGTGCTACGTCACCGGCGGCACGTCGCACGTGTGGCGCGAGCCGTGGGCCCGCACCGGCTCCTCAGAGTCCAGCGCTGAGTCCGACTCTGAGTCCTACCCGAGTCCGCGGACCGCAGCGGCGCGGAACGTATAGGCAGCTGCTGCGCCGAGCCGGCAACCGTGCCGGCAGTTAAAGTCATTAATTAATTATCGTGTAATCGTCATTATTGAGTCCATGAAGCCAGTCAAATTGCAGAGATGGTCAGTAAAATGCTAGTTGCTGTTGCGTTTGTCGTAGGTATATATGTATAATCTTGTGGAGCGAGCTCCAAAGATGTCTCCTCCGAATATTTACAATTTCAACTGATAATCGCTGCCATCGTGCGTCCCTAGCTCGCTCGACCTATGTAGGTCTGTTTTTCCATGTTTCGGAACAGGATGTTTTCCTTTACATTCCCATCTCATTTGCTTCATAGCGGTGTTGACATCAGAGCAACGTATATAAATAGACGTGATGCCGGGTCGTTGCCCGTTGGTCGCCAGTTCTTGCGTCAGTTAGCTACCATTCAGAGTCAGACGTCACGGGGCTGGCTCTGCTAGCTGGATATGCATCGATTAACTTTTCAAGTATCGTATGAAATATGTGTCCGGTTGGAAGCCCATTTATCAATCTGAAAAAAAAATAATGAAGGCATTTAGGCTAGGGTAAAGTGGTATTATTGTACATGTTAAAGTATGGTCATGGTGATGATGAAATTTGGCGAGATTGTAAAAAAAATGCACGATAACGTTGTAAAGCGAACGTACCTATGGGTTTTGAATACATGCAATTTGTGATTTGTATGAGATGTATTTTTTAAGTTTTGATCGGGTTAGTTTGCCCGTCGGGCCCGTGGTTACCGTCGATGGTAGGTAAAAAAATATATGGTATGGCATTATTGTTAGTTTAAAGGAAATAGTTCACTTTTTAACATGGGTTTTGAACTGGAATAGCAGTTCCGTAGCTTGGGCTGAGACGAGCATAAATCAGGAGCTTTTACAGCCCAACGATCACCCTAGGCAAAGATATTCTATTTCTCGTCCCGAAAAAGGTGTATTGCGTTGAGGATGTGTGCCTTGCATATTCGCCTCGTGACTCAGAAGTGGCTGACATCTGGTGGCCGTTTCCTGAACTACTATAGGTAGGATCCGGCGGCCGCTCCGCAGGCAGACCGGCCGGTCTAATCTCACGAGATCTCGGATTTCGAATACTTTTTCTTTCAAAATTGGAATGCAATGCACATAATTCGACGACAAATTCCTCATAGATCACGAATAATGATTCTCATAGCCCATCATACATCCTTTCACAGTCAAAAGGGCCCTGAACAAAGCGTCCCGTGGCACTTCGTAAGCAGTATTGGTGATCACAACCAATGTTAGGGCGGTAAGGGCGGCCGATAAGGATATTGCAATCCGTCGAAAGAGCAAGGTTCCGGACACATTGTCTAAACCTTCGCCGTAACGGTTTTCTACGTAGGTAGGTACCGCCTGATGCTTTTGAACCGCCCTGAGATCTTAAGAGCATTCATATGCCGGCATAAGACATTCACCTTTTATAGCCCGTCACAGGCCGACGTGGGGCCCTCAGAAATAGGCATGGAGTTCTCGGAAACCTGCATAAGGTCCTCATTAACTACCGTCGGAACTTAAGGATCTGCGATGGGCCCCAAAACGCCACCGTGGAGCCCTCAAATACCTGTAGATTGTAGCCTTCAGAAACCAGCGTGGACGCTCGGGTGCCGATGTAGAATGATCAGGGATTGGTGCGAGCCAAGGGCGAGTTCAGTGCGGGTTCGCTCAACCTTTCAAATGACCTGTTGACCAGTGGGATGGAATGGAACAGACTTACAAAACCAGCTGCTCGAACGGCGCCCGGAAGGCGAAGGGACATGTTCATTTCACATTGCTTTTTGCTAATGATATCTGCATGTCAGGGCCAAAAGGCAGTAGCTACATAGCCTGAGCGAGCACTGAGCAGGGAATGAGGGATGTATTCGGTTCAGAAGGGGCTGATTCTGCTCCCAATGATAGGGGGTTGGATATGTTATCTGTGTAATTCAAGCTCAGTTCTGAGTTATCACTTCAGATTCATAAGGCTTCAGAGGGTGGAGCCTTATGACCGCTGACACCAAAAATTTGTGACTTTTACATTCTTCCATTCAGTTATCAGTTACATATGTGAAAGATAAATGGCCCTGGCAATGAAAATAACTTTAAGGGTACCCCAGGTTTGTTGAAGGGAAGGTATGAATGAACACCCAAGGACATCAGATTGCTTCCCTCTCCCAGGTAGTATTCTCACACCATTGATCATATGAATTATGATGTTGATATAGTTCAGGAAACAAAAGAGATATATGTGCAAATTCAGGCCAGCTGTCAACGTATCATTGATTATAATGCCTCTAATGCCACCAATACTGCACCAACTTCTAAAGCACTGAGCAGAGGTTGTAACTAATAAAGCACACCATTTGTCGATTCAATGCTGAGCAAGGGGGTGACTGAGGTGAGGCGCAATAAGCTAAATATGTTCTGTGCTCTGCTGGACACATGTGCAGAACACATGTAGCATATTGTGCTGCACCACACATGCCAGCAACAGACTTAATTGTAGGTCTAATCTCTTCAGCTAGCTCCTTGAAACAAGCAGCCATCTCAGCAGCAAGTCGGTTTTGAGGGTTGGCAGCAAGACTCCTCAGTTCCTTCCTTCCAGGGCTGCAGCCTGCTGCTGGAAGCTGCCTCAGAAACCCTAGCATAGTGAAACAGCTGCTGTTAGCAGTGGAATCGGGTTGGCAGCCATCACTTCTGACATCCGATTTCGGTCAAATGCCACTAGTTGTAGTCTGAATCCTGTCTTTTGTACTTGTGTGGTCATGACATTGTCATACCATGCTATTGCTACAACATGAAAGATTGCATATGCACCTTATTACCTGAAATATATCCATTCTAATAATGGAAACAAGATCATTTAACGAACTGCCATGCGTCTTTGTAAGCTGCTTCAGACTGAGACTAAAAGTCAAAGGTCATGGCGATTTCTGCAGCCAAATGCTGTATGATATTCACTAGCGATAGCAGGGTAATTTACTCCAAAGGTCAAAAACCGAAAACGTTACATAAAATGAATCAAAATCGATAATAATCAGCTTCCCCCCAACCCCAATTTCCACTGAAGCTGATACAGAAATACATGTTTACCGGTATTCGTAACTCGTGCGCCACATTCGCTATCCTATCTATACGGCTCTACGGTGCTGCCACCTAGCGAGGTGTCACGAGGCGAATATTCGCATCCAGTATGAAAAGAGCATGGGTCCCGAAAATTCTTCAGAAACTAGTGAAATTATCTACGAGAACTCAAGAGAAATTCTCGTACTGATCAATAAGGACATTCAGCAGCAGCAGATCGCCCAAATGCCGGTGGCCGCGATAATTTCTCTAGTTTCTGAATAATTTTCGGAACCCATGCTCTTTTCATACTGGATCGCCTGTGCCTTACAGAAACTGAAAAGTTCTTCTTATATCAAAATATAGAAAATAATCTTTTGTTATAAATAGGTTTTATTTTCTTTGCTGATCATTTTGAACATAAAAAATCATAAATCCATTGCAAAAAAATAATTTCGTGAAAGTGAACTATTTCCTTCAAAGGTGATGGATCACTCCATTCTGAAAACAAAATATTATGCTCATGCCTTTATAAAACGCGAAGGACGTTTGGTGCCTCGAAATTCACGGATTAGCTGTGACTGAGTTCTACAGCATTTTGTGTGGGAATGAATTACATATAGCATTGATTTAGTTTAGAGTGTTTTGAGCATCAGGATTTGCTGCGTTTTAGCTTTTTGCCTCGTGTGTGATGTTGCTGCTTGCAATAAAGGCGCTTCTGAGACATAATCACGCTTACATCACTGCAGAACTTTGAAATATAATTGATGACGTTGTTCATAAGTTCAATCGTTTTTTCTGTTTGATACATTTTTAATGCTTAATTTAGGATAAAATACAATTGCTTGTAAATTGATAAATCAAAAATGGTATACGACATGACGATCAAGTTTTAAAATAACTTTTATAATGATGTAATTTGCATTTTTAGTACACACTCAAAGACCTCGTGGCACGATATTTCAAGCATGCTGAAAAATCATTGTTCGCTCGATTTCGAATATCTTCAAATATGACGTCATATAATATTTTAAAACAAAAATTTAATTTTGTTTCCAAAATTCGTTTTTGCAAGCAACAAAATTTAAACGAAACAATAAAATAGACCTAAACATTTCAAAAATTTGTGATACTTGATCAAAAGTAAAAATGCAATAGATAAGGCGTCATCAAAATGTGTCGTCACTACAAAGTTCATAATTTCTTATTCGTCTGCCTTGTTCTTGCAATCTCACAACAAATGTTTACAGTTTACATCCTCCTGTTGCTCCTGTTATTCTCTCGGCCCAACGTGTGTTGCGTCCAGGCCCATGTCACTCCACTTTTGATTACATCATAAGGGGGCCTCAAGACAATGATGGCGTGGTGCGCCACAATCGCTTCCAAGCTTCTTGTCAACAGCTGCCATTTTTGAAAATATTATTTTGAAATAAAGTTACAAATACTAAAAAATATTGTAATTAAGTTATTATTCATATCAATACGTTATCTAAAAACATACTGAAAAATGATTTACTTATAGTAAAAATATAGGCTCGATGCGTTTTTACGTTGCTTTTCTGCTACTGCAGAGGGTTTTTAAATCACCGTTATCTTCAAAACCGGCCATTTCTTAGCACATTGCTGCTCTTTTTTGTCGCTAGAAAATTAGTTGGGCTTTCCAGTGACATCAACGGTTGAGCAATATGTGAAAAGTACCATCAATAATCTTCAAATGAAGTTTGTCATTTTTACGTTGTTAAGGAATGGAGTACCCCTTGCGAGCATCAGGGATGACGTCACTCAGGATCTGTCTCTGATTGGTCGGCGGGGGAGTGACTGTACCTTCTATATATGGCCTTGGTTGCGTCGATGGGGGCGTGTGAAGTGCCAGGCGAATTAGGGTGTTTCTAAATGTCTCAGACAAGTTTACGTGTTTCCTTTGGCTATTGTGAATAATAGACAGCATTTATCGCAGTAGGGAACGGTCTAAATTGACCGAAAATAGCGCACAAGCCAATCGGCAATCAGCGCCTGCCGCTAAACAGTTTCGGAAACGCCCATATGTGACTTTCGCCCTTATGAAGTGCAGCTGCCACTGCGATAAGAAATGGTTTAACTTAAGCTGGTCTGGCTCTGAGGTTGTTTATCCCAAATTGCTGGCCTTGGTTCTTTCAAACGCCTCTGTTGAGTCTTGCGGCACATGTAAATAATTATACCACAATATGTTATCATCAGTGACCATGCAGTCAATATCCAAAGCCGAGATAAAAGATCTGTTAAGCCATGCCTTTAAAACACAGTATAGAGTGCAAGACAGAGATAAAAAGGTAAGCTATGTTTCTTATCTCTATGTTCATCATCATTTATAAGTATAACCCTTGACTCATTTTGAATAGGTAGCTAAATAGTTGTATTTATATGACTGAAAGTGAACACGGTAAATGTAAAGATGAATGGTCAGGTCAGTAGGTAAGGTTATAACCTTACCTACTGACCTGCAACATTGAACCTACAAAACTACCTACAATCTACCAACAGGCTCGCCTGCCCCGGTGCCCGTTCAGTTACTTTGTACTAACGTTTCAGCAAACCGATTAAAAACCTAAAACCTACCAACCTACAGCCTACTACCTACCTACTTACCTTGACCTACCAACCATAGGTACCTACTTGATACTTCATCTACACATATACCCAGTACCCTTATTTTGCATGTGTATTTTTTTCTGTATAACTCCCTAAAACTATATGGCTCATGGTGGCTAATTTCACTTTTTCAACAATCATTTTATCTATTTCAATGTTTATTTAGTCACTCTCCTCAAATTGAAGTGTGTCTGTCTATGCTGCCTTAATTGCTCCCTATTCTTAATGCAATTTATCACCCTACTTTAAACTAAGTTGTTAAAGTAACTGTGTTTGTTTACTCTCCTCCTGAAAGTGAAGTGTATTTTTTTCTATATGCTGCCTTCAAATGTTCATTCTCAGTGCAGTTTCTCATTTTAGTAAAGTAGGTAACTGTTTGGCGAAGTTTCCTCAGGTAATGCTTTCCAAAAATATTTCAAAGCTTTTATTTACCTGATTTCCTCCAGGGTAGGTTAGTATGAGATGGCTCATTCTGATGGCAAGCCGATGATTTCAGTCTGAGTCTGTAATGGAGAAGGTGGTGGATCTGTTCCGGCTGGACTACCAGGCCGACATTCTCTCCAACCTGGGCGGCGAGCTCGGCTCCAACTACCCGTCCCGCATGGTGCTGCTGTCGGCGGCGCCGGCCGCCGGCGTCTCCCCGGCCACGGTTGACTCGGCGCGGCTGCACCGGCTGGCGCTGGTGGCACGGATGGCGCGCTGCCGCGGCCGGTTCCCCATCAGCGTCATCCTCTACCGCGGACGGCACATCTGCAGGTGAGCGAGCGAGCTGGACCGGTGTCGGAGGGCTCTAGAGGTCGGGACTCGGGGCTGGGCGTCGAAATGGGAGGATAGTCTGTGATCGATCGGTAACTAAAATTGGAAGACAGTTCGGATTTCAAAACACGAAGCTGGAAGCTTAATTCAGGAGCTGATGATCAGGAGATGGGACTTGGGCCCGAAATGTTCGAAATTGAGAGCAAGGATCCAAAATGGAATGATGGAATTCGAGATCGAAAGACGGGATGCGGGATCAGAAGCAAGGTCGTAGTTCGAGGTTAGTAGTTCTATGCAGTTAATGCTGTGCTATCATGCCACCCTATGCTCTGTAGTCTTGGTACCTACGTTTTTGGGTGGTGTTCACGGAGACGTGAGATATCTATTGGAATCGACGACCCATGGTTCTAATACTCGATTAAAAACCCAGATTCGACGCATAAATCGTTTTCTTCTGTCTGCTTCCACAATCCACATGATCCGCACTCCCAGTCCCACCCTGAACGCACCGGTATGCCCCGTTTCTGACCTCGCCGCGCTCTGCCGGGCAGGTCTTCCACGCTGTCCGTCGGTGCCGAGATGTACCCGCGGCACTACTTCCACTCGATATTCGGCGGCCGGCCGGCGGGCGACGGCGGGCCCGCGTCCCCGCCGGCCGCCGACGCCGACGCGCCGGACGCCGAGCCGGAGCGGCCGCCGGCCCCCAGCCCGCCGCCGCCCCCCGAGTCGTCCACCCAGCTGTTCGATCGGCTCCGACACATGGACATGACCCTACTGCGGCTCTTCTCCGTGCACACAATCGCAGATTTGATGGTCGAGAACAAGAAGGTCAAGTTTGGAGTCTAGTAAGTATATACCCATCCTATTGTATGTACGTACAGGCATTGACAAAATAACATATCTCAAACATTTTTTTAGAGTAATGCTTGAGACGATCTTTTTTACACTCCGCATTCATATCTCAGATTATGAAATTTATAATTGCTTACTTTTTCGTTCTTCGAGATTCTGAATCTTTTTTTTAAAATCATGACACCAAAATCCGGATCCAACTATTGACCGAGGTGTTTATGTGAGCCCAGTCATCTGTCTGCTTCACGTTCCCGTCCGCTACCCGTCTAACATCATCACCCTTTCTCTCCCTGTAGCGTCTCCTCGTCGGAGAAGGTGGACAAGCAGGAGCGGTACGCTGACTTCGAGCTGCTCAGCCTGCCGTACCCGGGGTGCGAGTTCTTCCAGCAGTACTGCCAGCACGGCTACCAGGACACTGGCCTCATGTTCGACTGGAACCAGAGCTACATCGACGCCGAGGTGGTGCTGCCGCCGCCACTTCAGGACCGGCCCGAGGTCCCCTGGCACCTTTATAGGGTGAGTAACGGAGGAGGATGTAGTCCGACCGTGGCAGCTGGACTGGAGCTCAACTGGAATTTAGATACGGTGGATGTTGTGGCTACGTAACGATTACCGCGTGAAAAAGGAATCTGCGTTGGCCGTTGGTCAGTCGCATTGACTGAGTATCATGTTGGGCTTAATGCTAAGCGTCAGGTTGGAAATCCCATCTGACAAAAACTCATTTTAATTCGATCTCGCTACCTTCGGCTGAGCTCATATTGTGAACATCGTGTATCCAACCCTCCCCCACTAACAACACACCCTGACACCGCTCCCCCGTTCTGTCCTGACAGACGTGGGACATTGTGCAGCTGACGCAGAACTACCTGCGTCTGCTGCTGCACTGTCTGCACGCCAGTCAGGACGGCCTGCTCATCCACTGTATCTCTGGATGGGACCGCACCCCGCTCTTCGTCTGTCTGCTGAGGCTGACACTGTGGGCCGATGGGCTCATACACCAGGCGCTCGACGCGTCACAGGTACGCGTGTGTACTGGGGCGATGGCTATCCGCTGAGTGCTGACTCGTACAAAGTCTAGATTCAAATCACTTTTAAGTTTTATTGCACATGACTCTCGCCAACTTTGAGTTAAGTGACAGCGAGCATTTTGTTTTCAGATATTATACCTGACGCTCGCCTACGACTGGTTCCTGTTCGGCCACAACCTGGAGGACCGGGTAGCTAAGGACGAAGAGATAATGCACTTTGCCTTCAACTTCCTTACACACATCGAGAGCGACGAGTTCAGCGCCTCACACTTTGGGTTAGTCGCATGTCGGCCGTAACCCGTGATACGTGGTTGACGGAAATAATCATTCTGCAATATGCATTGAGCGTAATTACATTCCGGCCATAGATGGAACTTTGTGCCCGAGCTCTCCCAGTTCCAGACCGACTTGGCTTTGGAGCCACAGCAGACGGTGGAAGTCAAGGTCACCGCTAGGGCGGTGGCTGATTTGTTGCGCCCGGGCACCCCCAGCTCGGCACGAAGTTCCACTTATGATCCCAACCTTTGTTTGCCCAAGCCTCAATGTAAAAACATTTTCTTGAATGATATCTCTGCAGTTTTAACTCTGCATATTCTTCAGAGTCGATTTCCCAGCCACATGCGCCGTTCTCACATTGTCCCATCTCTCCCGTGGTCAGCGAGCCGTCACCGTCGGGTCTGCAGCGGACAGAGTCAGACGTGCACCTGGTGGGCGGCGTGCTGCTCGAAGGCCTGGAGACGGACGCTTCCAGCATCCACAGCTCGAGCTCGTCCACCTCTGACTGCGCCACCACCACACTGCTGGCCGGCGGAGGCGGCGGCGAGGCGTGGCCGTTCGTCGACCAGCAGACCTCTCTGGAGGCCAGTCTGAGCGAGCTGGAGCTCTCCTCGTCGTCATCGTGCAGCTCAGGGCGGCCGCGGGCCGAGAGGCGGCGGGGCGGCCGGAGACGGCGCCGGGACGAGCCTGAAGCTCCCTCCGCCGCGTCTGCTACCGCCGCTGTGCCGCCCCCGCCGCCGCCGGTGGTTGGTAGCTACCAGACGGTGGAGCTGCGACCGGCCGACTGCTCGCCCTCGCCCTCTCCGGCGGCACGGCGGCGGGCCGAGCGGAAGGTGCGCCTGCTCGAACGACAGGGCTCTGGCTCGCTGGAGTCGCTACCAGAACAGGTGAGAGCACATAGAGTGGCAGCCGGCCGTCGGGCTGACTAAAATTGCTTGTCTGGTAGCAGTGATGGGATGGTGACAGGCTGACAGCTGTTTTGGAAGCAGTATTAATCTGGTGCTAACCAGATATCACCTTCCGGCTTGTTTCTAGCAGCTATGTGCCCTTAGCCGTGAGATGGAATGTGGAATCTTGTGGTCTTTTCTTCAAAAGTTCTCGACTGTGTGTGTTTTGTCCCAGATTGCCTCCCTCGTTGACTGGATATCTGCCCCTCCCTTACTCCCCGCCCTCCCCAGCCTGTCTCTCACACCCTCATGCGCCTTATCCCCGGCAGCGCGACTGGGTGAGCCGGCCGGAGCTGCGGCCGTGCCGCTCCGAGGCGGGGTCGTTCAGCGGCGGCTCCTACCACGAGCCCCGCACCAGTCCGGTGACGGTACCGACAGGAGCCGGGGGCAGTCGGGCGCGACACGAGAGCTGCGGATCAGTCGGCAGGTATGTGCGCACAGGGGGAGAGGTGGGCGCTAATGGTGGATTTCAGGGAAGGTTGGATTTATTGTGATTGCTAAGTAAATTGTCTGCAGGCGTTGCGAATAATGCCTGGCCAGTCTTTAATTATAAGTGCTTGTCTCTGATGTCATCCTGTTCCTTTCGCGTATGAAGAGGGACGACCGCGTGGATCGCAGTGATTACCTCATTTCGGGCTGCTGCCATGTTGGCTTTTTATAAGTGTTGTGTGCGTGAGATGGTTTAATTGATTGAAGTCCCGCCCAGCTGTGATTCCCCGTCTGACCGCTCGGTGTCTCCGTCCCGCCGGCAGCTGGCAGCTGATCACCGGGTCCGGCTCTGTGAACGGCTCCGGATCACATGGATCGTCAACACACTCCCGCAGCAGCTAGTGAGTGAAACTGACCACCATCCCGTGATTGCCCGTTGTAGCGTATGTGTGATATGGCGGCAGTGTTTTGTGGGTCACCTGAGTCGTCAATACACTCCCGAACCAGCAACTCGTGAGACTGATCCATACGATCCTGTGTGTGGTATTGACATTGTGTTTATGTGCTGTGGCTGACAGGCCACTCCCGCAGCTAGCTTAGGATTCATACCGTAATACCGTATTGTCTGATAACTGCCAGGCGGCATTCATCGCAATGCTTGGCGTTGGTATCTCCCGCAAAAAGGCAGTTACCTTTTAAAACTGGGGTACATTTTATCGGTCATTCACTGTTTTTAGCTGACCAACGTCTTCTATTCTTTTCAGTAATTCGATGGGCCACGAATTTACCGAGTCCACCACGACGCTGATCGACGAATCCGGCGAACAGAGCACCGAGCAGCAGCCAGAAACCAGGTTAGTAGCAACATCATCAAACGGCTGATAGACTGAGTCTACCAGAACGTCAACACACCATTTCAGTGTTTAGCACAGTTCTACCGTATTCGGGCGGTACCGTGTCTGCTCTCTCACTCTTGTCAGTCTCACTATTCGATCCTGTTACGTCATTTTTGTGCTCCCCAGACGGTTGCCTCGGCTGCGGGCGGTATTTTCCGTGTAGTGTGGCAGTTTGATCCTTTGACGTCATTCCTGTGCCTCCTCAGACGGTCGTCCCGGCTGCGCGCGGTGCGCTGTCTGTTCCTGCAGTCGTACAGCTCGGCAGTCGGCCTGAAGACGGGCCCGCTGTCGCAGCGCACCACGGGCGCGCCGGCCGGCTTCTCCATCGTACCGGCCATCGTCTCCAGCCTGGCCGGCCGGGTGGGCATGCTGATGACCTGACCGCGCCTGGGCCGGCCGGCGCCCCTCAGCTGCAAGTGAGGCCCGCCTGCCGGCCGGTGCGCCGTCCCCGTGTCACCCGCTCAGTCCGACTGGATACCGTGAGTCGGGCGAGGCGGCACCACTACCCCGTATAGAAGAGCCAGCAGATAGCACCCACCGGCTACCGACGGCCGCTCCGTTTGGCCAGAGAAACTCACACACAACAGGAAACCAGTACTGGAATCTGTACTCAAATCAAAGCACCGTGCATTGAAAAAGAGTTCTGAAGATTTGATGTGATGATTCTGCATATCATCTCTTCGTATTGGATGCCTATGTTTATACGATTATTGACCTGGAATTATGACATACTCCACCCAGACATATTGAGCCATAGGCCGACACCGTAGCACAGTAAAATACCGACCGTTCCATGCTTGCTCAGTTGCGTAGCGACGCTGAATCTGTACAGTCAAAATACCGTATTTGTGTTAAGTATTTTTAGCGTGCCGTACCACGATATGTACCGAGACGCTATGTTGCTCAGGGCAAAGTCAAGTTAACGACCTGTACCATTTGAAGTGTCATGAGCGGTAGGGCGTCGAATCAAATGATGTGCAGTGCCTATTTACTCGAATGCGTTTTATTTTTATTACTAAAATGCGCGTCCACGCGCGGCGCTAGCTCCGTTATTGATCTGACTCGCCGGATCGCCGTTTTACGAGACATACGTAACACAGTCATATTTTGTTGTCCGCCGGACTAGTGTGTATTCGTTTGACGGTATGACCGCCCACCTGAGACCTATCACTGAGTACCTATGGCGTCTTCTAGCGGTGTCGTGCGCCGTCCCTCCCCTCTGGCCGTGCGCGGCAGGGGCGGAGGGGGGTAGCCCGCCGTCACCGCGTCTGTGTCTGCCTACCGTGCCGCGGGACAGGGACGATCAAACGAGGCCTGCCGCCGAGACATTGGTGCTCATGTAACCAGGGGACTCAGCCCGGGTAACGTGTATGCTTCCTTAAATCAGGTGTCGCTTTTAGCTTTTACGATAAACGGTGCAAGTATCCAGGCTCAGGGCAGCTTGTGTGTTAGTTCGGTGGCACGCCTCGTTTGGTCGTCCCTGACCGTTTGTTGTTTGCTTAGGCGCCGGTCGGGTCCGAGCCTGTGCCCAGGCCAGCGGCGGGCTGGGTGGCGCCGCCCGCTCAGTTTTGTACGTGTATCCGCCGTCTCGGCGGTGCGGTCTGTTGGATGGCGGCGTGCTGTGGTGGCGGGCGGCCTGCCGGTGCCGGGTGCTGCGCTGTGCGCCCAGACCCAGCGGCTGTGTGATAGGGTGTGCCGGCTGCGGTCCGGCCAGTGCACGCGCCATACACACGCCGAGGGATGTATCGTGTGTGTATACGCTGCAGTGACGGGCCGGGATATGGGCGCTAGGTCGGCCAGTCGTTCTGACAGTGTGCTGACGGCAATGTTATGACCGGGGCTGGTGCTTCTCTGCGGGGCATGGGCGGTAAGGCGGCAGAAATACAGGGCGCTTCAGCAGCAATCACATCTGAGATTGTGACATGAGTACCTCGCATTGAGTTGAGCGTTGCGCAATGCGCACTGAGTGACGATATCACCAAGGCGGCAAGGATGACACGATGGTTGGTCTGGCACTGACTGAACTGTGATCGCGAACGCATTCCGAACAACTTCGCTAAACAGGAGGCAGCGCCGCCAGTTTTCGCTACGTAAGTATAGAGCGGCGGCTATAGTACCGTAGACTTTCTAACCCCTGAACCCCTGACAGCGGCAGTGTGAGGGTGGGCAGTAGATGGGACAGTTGAACTGACACCACTCATACATACCCGGCAGTCGAACATACAGAGCCGTCGGTTGGCATTGGAACGGTCGGCCCGAGACGCGCACATACCCGGCGGTGCCGAGGTCGGGCCCGATGCGGCCCTGACGCGACTGGGCCACCGGCTGAGGAGGTTGAAGCACAGACGGCGGAGGCCGGGAGACAGACGACCGAGGCCGGCTCACAGACGATGACTGGGGCCGGCTCACGGACGGTCCCGCCGGCCGCCCTCGTCTCGGCGCCACCCCTGCCGCAGCCACCGCCGGTGACAGCTCACTGGGCTGGGCCGTCTGGTCACCAGCAGCGGCGGCGGTGGCGGCGGCCCGCGCGGACGCCTCGGCTGGGACAGGATTATCCGCTGACTGCGTCTCTGTCGGATCTGCTGTGTTGGGCGTCACCTCATTGCTCGGTGTCTCAGATGTCTCGGATGCCGTGTCCGCTGTCTCACCACTGTCTCCTGCCTCTACTGATACCGGCTGCCTCTCATCTGCCCTGTTCCCCGGTCCACCCGAGGCCGGCAGCAGACGGGATCGTCGCTCGGCGGCAGCCCCGGTGTTCAGCGGTCGCCATCCGCTGGTGTCGGGTCGGTCCGGGGTGCCGCCCCCCAGCAGCAGACTGTGCAGACTGCGACCGGAGGCCACAGGAGTCTGCGGGGGCAGTCCGCTCCGCGTCCGAGCACCAGTGCTGTCACAGCACAGGGGATTCTGGTTAGAGCCGAGACGGGCGGCGCACTCTACGGCACACAGTGTAATTCTAGGACATCGCTCAACGTCGAGCATCATCTCACATTCGCGTCTCAGCCTCCTTGAACTATCGTGAGTCTCAGAAAATCAGGAAAAATGTTGAGGCTCAAACATTTGAGCTTCGGGGGCTGACAAAAACTTGTTTCACCATAGTTTCTCTTATATTGCAACTGGACGATGAGCCAATTCTGAGCTTGACGTGACTGTGATTGACTAATGGCTCAGCTTGTGATTGATGGTTAGTCCGACTGGCTGGCAGTTTGTCTCTGACTGACTGACGCTGAATGATTGACCAACTGATTGACCCAAGGTGTGACTCAGCACCCACCTGTCTGCGACCTGTATGGAGCGTCCCAGCACCACCTGCGCCCCGAGGTCGTCGGCCGTCACCAGGCTGTCGGCAGTGATGATATCCTGTTCCCCGGCGGAGGCGCTCCGGCCGACGACCAGCGTGTCGAGCCGCTCCGACCCGGCGGTACTGAGGTCCTGCTCCTTCTCCACTGAACCAGCCGGCTGCCAGCCCCTCTGCACTGCCGGACTGGGTCGCGGCAGTAGCATCTGCCGCTCCTCCAGATCCCTCAGCCGGGCGAGCGCCGCGTCCAGCCGTTCGGCCAGCTGGTCCCGGTCAGCAGCTGCCGCCTCCAGCCGAGCGAGCCGCGCCTCGAGCTGGTCACAGCAGCGGCCGGGGGTTGCAGGGACCGGATCGGCCTCCTTCTCAGACCGGTCGGGTTTGGTCGGTCGGTCGCTGGCGATGGACTCGTTAAGCTGTCGCAGCGAGTCACTCAGCCGGTTGATGGTGACCTCCGCCTCCGACACGCGCCGTCCCACGGTCGCCGTCACTGAGTTCACGAACCGCGTGATGGCATCGTGCGCGTCTGAGCTGTCCGGCAGCGCGGCCACTGCCCCGGCGACGGCCTCCAGCTGCGCCTGCTGAGCGATCAGCAGCGCCTCCAACCGGATCACGGGCGCGTGCAGCCGCTCGGCCAGCTCGGCCAGGGAGCTGTTCAGCAGGCTGAGCTGCTGGTCGGCCGGCGCAGAGTCGTACTCAGCCAGCACCCGCCGCAGCCGGTCAGCGGCGTCCGTGTCGGCCCGCTCCAGCGCCGCGCTGACCACGGCGACTGCCACCAGCGCCTGGCGACGGTCGGTGAGGGCGGCCGCATTGCCCGCCGGCTGTGGCTCCTCCGGCAGACGGCGGGCGTGGCGCGAGCTGCTGTTGAGCCACGGCTCCACCAGCAGGCCGTAGATGACGTGTGCCGGCGGCTGTATGTCGACGGAGGTCAACTGCCGCCGCTGCTGCTCCACGGCCGACAGCTGGTCCTCGGCGGCGACCAGGGTCGGCACGAGACACAGCGTGATCCACAGCATACCGATCGATCCTGGTGGACAGTCAAGGAGACCGAACCTCACCACAGTGCTGAGGCCAGCCGCGGCGTTCGTATGTGAGTGGAGTTCACGCTCACGCACCGTTGATGCTCCCCAAGAGCGCGAGGGCACTTTTAGCCCTCCAAGCGCCGCTCGGACGGAGGACGGAATACTCCTCCCCTCGGCCGATCACTGCCAAACTGCCGGCCGCTGTCCGGTGACGCCGAAGTCGGCCCATTGTTTGGAGTGGACCCGGCCACTGCGCGGCACTACTGGGTCATCGTAACGTAAACAGAGCCGACTGCGAGCGGCACGCGCGGCGCGGTCCGGTGGCGTCGGTAGCAGTGCATCGGCGCGGCGCATAGACGATGGGCCTCCGAGGTCCAGGAGAGGGACTCTTGATTCATCTGGAGAAATTGATGAACCTCCTTGCGGGTGCGGCGCCATTGGGTCGACATGACATGGTTGAAAGTGGAAGGCGTTAGGGCCTCAGTGCCAATCTCGAGCCCGCCGCGTGCGTTCCTGGGTGTAGCCGCCACACGTCCTCGAGAGCGGTCTCCCATCCAGCGCAAATCCAGCGGTAGAAGGTGGGCAGTGTGAAAAGTTCATTTCTAATATGTAGTAGTTGATAGTGCAATCTCATTGCTGTAGCTTGAATGTATTTTCATCGAAATGGCGAAATCAAGGCCCTAAATACCTACAGGCGAAATATTGGCCATGGGAAAAAGGAAAAGAAGGAAATAAGAATAATAAAGTATGAATTTATTATGCTCTTGATTGACAACCACTGAACTCTATAATGTGGAATGCGCATCGGCCGCCAGATGGTGTCCAACGGTGCCGCCATGTTGCGCAGACCAGGAAGCGGCCGCCGCCTGTGTTGGGGAATAGGGAATTCGGGACCTGATTTACGTTTGCGGTCGCTGCATCCGTTACGTTCAAGCTATGTGGACACGGAACCCGGCATCTTACGCAGAATTGAGTGGAGAACAAGATGACATCCTAAAATATCCTCAGATACAAGGAACTAATACGTTAAACCCTTATAAGTCAATGGGGAAATATGAAAAATGCTATTTTGGCGCCGAGAATGATCTGAAACTATCTTAAGCATATAGAATCATTATTTCATGCACTCCTTACAAGGTTCTATGCTTCATATTTGCATTGTTGCCCTTGCGTGACGTCATTTGTGACGTCACAAGGGTCACAATTTTTTCTTCAATAACTCCCGATCAAATTGAGCTAGCGAGTCGGGAAAGCCACCAATGGACTCAGGAAGACCTGCCGAATCGAATGATATGCGACATGACCTCTTTCGACCAACTTTGTGACCTGGGGGTGCTGACCTGACCTTGACCTGAGGTCAACACCCTAAGTTGACCTGACCCGAACAAAAAGTATATCACTCGATGCGCCTGAGCTAGCTGAACACGATGATGTCAAAATCGCGGCTCTACGGCCATTTTTGGCGAAGGTATTTACCAAAAACCGAACCCGTGCCTTAGATCACTTGACCTGACCTCAGAGGTCACCGGTTGACCTGAGACCTTTAAAGCGGGTTCCTACCAGTCACTTTGCATTATACTTTGCCGCATACGACCACTTAAAGGTAGTGTGCCAGCTTTCCTGGACCGTATGGAGTTAATGGCCCAGATAAGGAGAACCGGATTTTTAGAACTTATCCATACCTTCAAAACTCATGGAAACGTCTTAAATTCTTCAAATTTTGAGTACCCCAGTGCGAAATTCGCCCCGACGGGTTGTCGGTCGTACCCCAACCACATTTCACACCACTATGAACAATAAATGCACACACTGAAATCGCTATTACCGATATGTTCATCCAATCAAGTTTCGATAAACCCGTTCATCATCATCTCCTGCGGTTTCGAACACGCCTGTTAGGTGGTTCGGTGCGGTAGACCGCGCCCAAAGCCAGGGCCCCGGTAACGTGAGGTAGCCGAGTCGGGGCAGCGTGCGCTGACCCAAGCCGGGGCCGCGCTTCCTCCCGGTGTCATGTGATAGCCCGGGGCTGCCCGCGGGGATGCGGTAGACCGCGCCCAAAGCTGCGGCCCCGGCTTGGGTCGGCGCACGCTGCCCCGACTCGGCTACCTCACGTTACCGGGGCCCTGGCTTTGGGCGCGGCTTCTGCTCATACTTTGTGGTGCGGTGGTGGTGCGTCGGGCCGCGCGCTCTGACTTCGGCCAAGAAAAATGCGTCAGCTGATCATTGTCATTTCTGCCACTTGCGTGTGGTGAAATGGGGTCATAACTTAAGAGACGGCCTTTTCATATCAATTATTTTACATAAAATCATATTTCAAACCATAAATAATGTTCGACAGCCAAATAAAAGAAACAATACCAATACAGGCTTACAGTTTAAGGCTCGACATTGTGTTGTCTACGATTAGACAGCTGATAACTCATTCCCGTACGTCGTAACTCTATAATGACCTTTGCTTATTGTCACATGTGCGCCGCATTCGCGATTGTTGCCGACGCCTGTTTGCAGGTCAGCCCACTACAGTTGTTATACATATCGAAAAGCCGATAAACTTTTAGGCGAAAAAGGCACTATTCCAGGCCCATTTTTGATTTTCTTTGCGATATTAGGTAAAAACAGAAGCTTCTTATCCTAGGAAAAATAAAATGGGAAATCTTTCAAAGGTGGCACACTACCTTTAACCGCTTAATTCTAGTTAAATTAGCGGCGCATTTGCGAGGTGGGTTCAATCAACCCCCTCGGCCGGGGCAAATGTAGGTCCGGCGAGTAAATTTGAGGAATTCTGAAGATACGATCGTGTTCCCCACTCAATTCTGCGTAAGATGCCGGGCTCCGTATCTACGTAACTTGATCGTAACGGATACGGCGGCCGCAAACGTAAATCGAGGTCCCGAATTCCCTATTCCTCAACACAGGCGGCAGCCGGTTCCTGGTCTGCGCAATATGGCCGCCACCGTTAGACACTACGGCTACGGGTTGAAGCGGCATTGCTCCCCTGTGTTGACAACCCTGATTCAGTATACAATTGTGCCTAGCTAGAGACGTGTGGCGCGTCATAAGTTATGTTCGTCAGCAGGTATTGCGCGTGCCGCTAGCGCACGATCCTAATTTTCTTAACAACTATTGGCTACTTACCTAGCAACTCGCGGGCTATTGCAGGATTCACAGCTGTTGCTTGATGAGAGAACAGAGTCTCAATATTCACATGCGATACTTGAAGCACGAAGCGTATACGGAAATAAAAATTCTCAATCCTAATCGCACTCTGTGAAAGTTCATTTGGTTCATTTGAAATTAAGGAGCCTGAGTTTGAAGTCTGTAGGCATCCCTTTTCCTTTGGCATTGGAGGCAACAAAGGGTGCGTATTTGTATTGTGAGCTTGATCTGAACACGTTTTTAATTCATGTTCCGACCGTTCTGACCTGTTAAACATAACAATAAGTCATAAAGCATGCTGATAATAATGATCATATTATTTAGGCTTATTTTTGGTTCTTACACACCTGGTACTTTCTCTCATTGTTTGTATTTCACTGTTGCAGTTAGCTTCAATTCCCTCCCCCCTCCCCCACAGTCACGGCTCGGGCTTGAGCTGCGAGTGTTGGTTGATGGTGTTTTCTGACTGTAAACAAGCCTGGCGAGTTATGACTCAATAGCGAGTTGTGACTCAATAGTAACAAGGCTGGTGTGAATATGCCTCAAACATTCATGACAAGCTTGAGTCCTAGAGCAGTCAGATGAACCTCACTGGCAATTCAGATTCCAGGGTGACAAGTTGGTCTTAGTGAACACCAACCAGGCTGGAACTTTACTTCAAACAGGCTGTATTGAACATATGGAAATTTTAGATATTAGTTTCTTCCAGTAAATTGCAAGAAAAGAGTGATTATCTCTAGGGAGACTGATTGTGTCTGGTGTACATCATTTTCTTGGACAATGCTGCACCATCACAGTATTTCAGCATAGTGCCTAGTTAGCTGTTAGGGCCTGTGCAACTACTTGTAAGACCTGCACAGTTCCACAGGAATTCAAATTATGCACTTTACAGTGCACTGGCTGAGTGCCCTTACCCTGACAAGATGCTGTTGATGATATTGTCATGATATGCATTTTGCTTTATGATCCAAAGCTTGTCTTTGGGTGAATCTCCATCCTCCATTTTTTTTTTTAGTTTTGGACTTTCCAAGGTCCCAGTTACTTAAAAGTAGAGCTATTCGCAAAGGCTTCTCAGTCACTGAATATATCTGGCTAAAATACTTTGCATGTGTGGAAATCCACAGCTGGGGCATTTGGTTCAGTGATATGCCTTGCCCTTGTTCGTGCTTAATGTTTAATTGGATTTGTATCTGGTAGCATGTCTCAGGAGTCTGGAATTGACATTTGAAGTTCCAGTGTCCCAAAATTACAATTTGACTTGGGTGTCAGAGTGGAAAATTCGAACCCTAAAAGGCCAATGAGAGTGGAAAATTAGAAACAAAATGTGGGATATTAACTCAATAAAGGAGGAAAACGGCACTGATTCTCAAGGAAGTTTAATATTACATCGCTGGAGTTAGGGGTTTTCCACTCATTTATGCCAAAGAAACATTTGAGAGTGGAAAATTCACTTTGAAAATCAAAAGAGAGAGTGGAAAATTATTCACCATTGGGTGTCATCTCCCACCCAAACCAACAAATTTTGGGACATTGTGAAGTTCTTAGGTAACTAAGAGTAAGCTAAGCCTATTTTTTGCTCATTTAGTTTTGCCAATTTATTTTGCTAACCTGTTCTTATTTCTAACCATTACCAGGCTGTACATGACTAGTTTGCGTTTTATTTGGCTATTTTCATATATGTTGTTTGTAAGCTAGTGTAAATACTAAATGAGGATTTACACAGTAACAGCCTTAGGTAGGACTTCCACCAATGATTCCTATTTGAAAACATTCAGCGTAGCTTATTTTTTACTACCATTTAAGTAACTGATTCTGTTCACCAGTCAGAAAAATGGCATGATAAAAAAATGACATTAGGTCAGTTCGACGTCTCTCGGACGACGAAGATTCTACGTCGTCCGGCCAATCCCGTTCAATGTCAGCGGGGGCTCGGCTGGGGTTATGGAACGTGATTGGCCGGACGGCGTTGAATCTTCGTCGTCGGAGAGACATCGGACGCGGGGTAAGATTCCTCTTGCTGGTATGGTAAAGATATATTTAATTCCACGTACTAGACAATGTATTGGGTTATGGAACACCTTTCAGTTAACACTATCCAAATGTCTTTCCGGCAGCGTGTCAGCGTAGATAGTGCGGTGTGACTCGTGGGTTGTGTCTGCGGACGGTGCGTCGGGGCGCCCTCTCGGTAAGATGGCGACCGAAGTGGCTTGGACCGACGCCGACCGCACCTACCTGCTGTGCTTCTCCAACGAGCTGACCGAGTTCCGCGAGCCCGAGCTGCGCGCCGTGCTCTCCCTGCTGGGACTGACAGCACGCTGGACCGGCTCTGTCACCGCCACACCGTACCTGGAGGTACGGCTGGGGAGTGAGGCGGACGTCCGCCGGCTGGCACAGCGCACCGTAGCCGTCAAGAGCTGTCTGGAGCTGTGGGCGGCAGCAGACTCGGAGGAGGAGCTTCACCGACAGCTGCGACAGAGGCTGCTCGACCATCCCGACACCATGCTGCCCCACTTCGGCCCGGAGACCTCCTTCAAGGTGAACGTGGAGTCGTTCAACCGAACGCTGTCGCACGAGGCCAAGGTGGCGCGCGTGGAGTCGTTTGACTATCTGCCGCTGGAGGGACCTGTCCGGCTGCGGCACCCCGACCTGCGGCTAGACGCCATCGAGTACTACGGTTTGGACCCTAACCGGGTGCCTGAGCGGCCGCTGCGGCTCTTCTTCGGCCGCTGGCTGTGTGATGGGCCGCGAGCAGCCATCAAGGCGCACTCGCTCAAAACGCGCGCCTACATCGGCAACACGAGCATGGACCCGGAGCTGGCGCTGATCATGGCCAACATGGCGCGGGTCCACTCCGGCGACACCGTCTACGATCCGTTCGTGGGCACGGGTTCACTGCTGGTGGCAGCCGCTCATTTCGGTGGCCACGTTCTCGGCACAGACATCGACTATCTGACGGTGCACGCGCGGACACGGCCTTCACGGGTGCAGGAGCGCGGCCGGCGGCGCGGGGCGGGTGAGAGTATCGCGGCCAACCTGCGCCAGTACGGCCTGCAGTCCCGCCTGGTGGACGTGCTGGTGGCGGACGCTGCACTCCCGGCGCTGTGGCGGTGCGGCGTCACCGTGGACGCCATCATCACCGACCCGCCGTACGGTATCCGAGAGCCGACCGAGCGGGTGGGCTCGGCTCGGCCGTCCGGCGGCGCCATCCCGGCGCAGCACCGCGCCGCCCACTTCCCCTCCAAGGTGGCGTATGGACCCGGAGCGCTGTTTGGCGACCTGCTGCGACTGGCCGCCGACCGGCTGACTCTGGGAGGTCGTCTGGTGTTCTGGCTGCCTGTGACGCGCGCTCAGTACTCCGCCGACCGGCTCCCCAGCCACCCCTGTCTCCGACTGGTGGCCAACAGTGAACAGACGCTGACGGCCCGCGCCAGCCGCCGTCTCCTGACGCTCGAGAAGTGGCGTGAGCCGGACGACGGGGACGCCGCCACTGTGCACACCAGTGTCGATCGGTTCGTGAGCGACTATTTCAGCAGTGAGACCACGGCGGACGGTGGGAACAGTGATCGTGAGACCACGACGGACGCTGGTGGTGACGGCGATACAGGGACTGTAACGACCGGTGTTGACGTTGGTGACAGAGTGACAGGGACTGTTGGTGACCGCACTGGTGCAGTGGGGACTAGTGAGGATGGTGACAGTGTTCAGGGCGAAGTCGCTGCGAACGAAAAGGCCAAGGAGCGTGTTCTGGTCAGGTGACATTAGGTCAGTGTACCGTGTGATCCGTGTCATGAATATGCAGCTGCGAGAAATGGCTTCGTCGATCATTTTATCATCGTCCATGACTCCATAGGTATTTGATCGCATTCTTTAGTCACCTGTTTTCATGAAACTTCAACACGAATCTGGCAGGCCGTGAAACCTTTATCGTAAGTTGAAGCGATATTTGTGAAGTGATGGAAAAATTAATTTCGATGCGTCTAAACTTGGTTTTCGGAGTCATTGTGTGTGAGTGTGTCAAGTCAAAAGTTAATGTCAGTCAAAACTCAAAACAAAAGTGAATGCTTCGCTTTTCACATTTCGCTTTTATGCCGTAGGAGCGACAAATTTTATGTATGGTACCGAGTGTGTGGGGCCTACCCCTATTCCCGATTGAAGTAAGCAATGCATTTGGGGACTGTTTTGAATGCGTTTGAATGCGTAAATGCGTTCTAAAGGACTTTGATGTTTGATCACTTCACACTTGAACATTGATTGATTGTCACCGCTTTGAACTGTAAGACCAATACAAGCTGTTGTCTATAACATCTTTTGCTGTGTAAATCACGGAAAAACGCTTCGATTCGCTTCGATCAATCCGTTATGACGCTGGTTCACGTATGTAATTAATTTAAACCTTGCCTATGACAATCTCATTATGGGTAAAAAGTGGCACGAGTCATTGGTTGTACAATGCACATATGTATATTGAGCCTCTAACTATACAATATCCTCTAACTATACAATATTTACTCGACAGCGGACCGCATCTTTTTTTTTGTTGTAAATATGCACGCACGTAAATGCATGCGTAAATGCGTTCCGCAACGTTAGCTCAGAGTCTTATGTCGCCTCGTCTTGAGAATAATCTCTGGTCTACTGAGGAAACCGAAACCGTTACTCGCCGAGTGAAAAGTGAGTGCCGTTACTCACCGCATTACCGATTCAAGCCGTGAAATCTCCCTTGGCATCCTCTCTCACCGACCCTGATGTCCGTTTCCAGGATCGGCCTCGGCTCTCCTCCGGCAGCAGCGATGAGCGGACCGCCGCGAACCTGGCGCCGATCCCAGGCAAACACACCGCTCGGTAGGGACCGACTCCGGCAGCCGTTTCGGTCTCCACTACTGGCGAATCGAACAGGCGCCTCTCCGGCCACGGGAAGCACGACCACTGTGAGCTCTACCTCCCCGGCGAGCAAGACGAACTCGGCCTCTCCGTCTCCGGCGAGCGCATCCATTCCGTTCCGGTCTCCTTTGCTAATCGGCACACCGAGCCGTGTTGAGACTCCGTGTGATCGGGTCTACCCACCAGCCGGAGACAGTCCTCTGACTGGCGATAGCGCCGCCTCTCCGGTCCTACGAGACACCCCCAGAGTCGGCGCAGTAGCGGGCTCAGACTCGGTGTCAGAGTCGCCCTCAGAGAACGGCGCTGACGGTGACTCGTCACTCGCGGAAGCACTGGCGGCGGCGGACGCTGAGCTGGCCCGTCTGGAGGCGGCTGGGTGTCGTGCGGAGCAGCTGCCGCTCTACATAGACGCGTTGCACGGCTACAATGAGATCAAAGACGCGGCACAGCTGGTGATGGGCAGGATAGCTGAACTGGACGGCGTCACCGTGCGCTCTGTGCACCAGCGGTACGAGTGTCTGCCGCCAGCCGAGCGCCAGTGACTGGGGGGCCAATCTACGGACGTCAGCGACTGAGGCTGATCTGCGGACGCCAGTGATCGAGTCGGGCTGATGGGAGAAGAGATGAGATAAGACGTAGGGCGGAAGCTGGGTGTCTGCAGTGACGAGTCTCTGGCTGTGATTGAGCGTAGGCGTTAGCGCACCTGATAAGGGGAGTAGAGTCAGTACAGCTCTTCAGTGAGCCGTCTAGAGCGATGCTGGCTGTTGTGTGACCTGTGTGATCTGCCAACGATATAACACGATGACGATATGGCTATGCCCGTCTTGCAATCTATCACTGCCGCTGCTCAATATACATATGTGCATTGTACAACCATGCATTAGTTGAAGACTCCGAGAAGCCACAAGTTGTGGCTTTGTTCTGGCCACTTGTTTGCTATCGCGTAGAGTCCTTCATCCCGTTTCACACGTTTCCGCATTTCGTTACATCTTTCGTCAGCTCATGCTGAGCCCTATTTGTGCTGGTCTGCCGTTTAAATATCGTTTTGAATCGATCTATGACCATTCATTGCATCTTGTGATATTGTATGAGTTGTGGAAGTCAAAATGTTCGAGCTAATATATCTTATGTTTAACATTTTATTTGGTTAGTTATAGGTACATCAGACATCCATGATCCATGATTCGCTCATTCGAGTCGGTAATCGCTTTATCTTATGTTGATTAATCCCCTCTCGACACTTTTTCAAAACGTCCAACATCGGTAAACAGGTGGAAGTTCACGGTCAGCTTTGTTACAAATGTTTGCATTGCCAGAGACCAAGAGCAAAAATATGTGTCTGGTCATGACAAAGCTGACGGCGGCAGATTTTTGCTTCCGAGTTGGAGTGAAGGAATGATAGATCATGCATCCATGCAGCGCCAACAGCACCAATCGCAGTTATGATTGGTTATAAAGATACATGTCGTCAAACCATACAGATTCGTTGCAAGATCCACGGTATATAGAGAACTGGCAAGATCATTCAACGGACTTGTCAATTTCGTAATATTGCCTCCTTTATTCTTTTTTCCCACGGTTTGTTTACTTCGACCAGCTGACTGGTCACGTGGTACAGCTCTTGGTAGAGCATCCTTCAATAACGGAACGGTTCTCAGCGATGACAAGCAAATTTGAAGATTGATGGACATTATTTTTGACAAAGGGACAATATTTCTCTTCTAAAACACGGACTTGTGCTCGTACAGTGTATATTTGATACAGTTTTAGTAACATACCATTACAATCTCCACGGATGTTTCAGTTATTTGGAAATGTGCCCTGAAATGGTCCGATCGTTGCGCAGCTGGCTTCCTCCGCTGGCTCCGCTGTCCTCATTGTGTTGCGTTTCTGTGGCCTTGAAGGTGGCTGGCTCCTGAGTCGTTTTACAGGAAGAGGCCCTGAGGGGCAAGATAAATTTTTACAGTTTGTGACTCTAATTTGGCCAAGATGTCTTCTCCAAGTGCAGGAAAGAAGAGGATGGACACTGATGTCATTAAATTGTATCCTTTATCGCATGTTTTTGCATCGAAAAGTTGTGATGTCTTTGTTTGACGGTGCTCACCGATGCCCTTTACATTTTCCCAGCATAACATTTTGATATTTTGCAATATGTAGCTTATATCAATGCATTCTGAGGTTATGTTAAAGAAAAATAAAGCATTGACAGCCACCAGCTCAAAATAAATTATTGCTTTCTTTCAAATGACCTGAATTTTGACCTACTTTCATTTTTATCTCATTTGTTCTATATTTTCAGTATATTGTGTGATTGTTGAACTATACCTATAGCATCTAAGTGCCTATCAGCATCAACTGCATTTCTGTTTAACTTCACAAGTGCTTGATGCCACAGAAAAAAATCATCAAAATGTGATCTGCGACCTTCAATTTTCGTTTTCCCAATGCTTGAGAATGTTGCCCAGTGCCCACTGTAATTCATTGCTTAAAATGTAACATTTTATGTGGTCAACATAAATTATTGATATACCAATGAATTTTATATGGCCCAACTTGTGTTTCACAAAAGCTACCAATACAAATACATTTTTCACATGGGTGCACTTCATTTTTTAATTAAATCAACCCAACTAAAACATAGGCCTATAAACCAGTCTAAACTTTTAGGAAGTCTCATTTTTTTCCTCTTAGAAAATCATGAATTTTGAAACATTTTTCATATTTTTTTGACAAATATGTAAGAAATGAAACAGACATGCAGGCTGCTTGATTTCATTAACTCACACAATGAAAACTGGTTCTTGAATCTTGACATAAGCACACACAAATTCACCCTTTTATGCATTGCTTTGAAACACCCTGCTGATTGATCCTAAATGAGTTTGAATCTGCTGTGTTTGTCAATGAAGTTGAGCTAGATATGTTCTTCTAGTGAAATTTTTACTGTAACTAGTGTCTGAAACAGCTACCAAAGGCCCTGCATACCTTGCCTAGATCCAATCAGGATTAAATGGAGAGGGTTGGCAGGAAGTGACACTAGGATATCAGGCAAATTCAATATAAATGTTGATTCTTTCATTCTATGATAGCTCATCAAGAGAAGGTTCCATATGCTTGGAGCATTTAGGCAGGGTGTGGTCACAGCACTTCAGCTGTCAAGTTCATATTCATTGTCATTATCAGCTCTGCCTGAGTAGCTTTGTTGGAAGCTGGCTGCCACAGTTACCTTATGGCAACCACCAGAATATACTACAAGTTAGCTGGCTCACATTGGTGAGTATTCACAGGCATGCTTTGAAGTTTGGCTAATCCTTGCCATACCTAAGATAATATTGTAAAGTAGTGTCTTTTATTGATCTGTTAGACATTACAGCCCTAAGCAGATGAAATAAACTTGAATGCACCATAAACAATCTAAACTTCTTTCTTTTACATTTCAATGAAGATTGTTCTTGCTCGAACATTAATGCTTGCATGTACATGATCTTATTTGACCTGGAGCTTATAATTGCTTTGATGATGTTTGTTGGTACAATGCTGGCCAAATATGTAGCATTTACCATCAGGTTTCTTAGCATGGTGAAAGAACAGTCCACTGAGTTGCAGGCTGGAGTAGAACTAACATTTTTTCGCATGTATGGGGGGGGGGAGCGAATGGACCTTCCCCGGTTTTTTCGCGAATAGCTCGCGTAAAAAGCGGCCGCTCGCGGCGAAACTTTCAGAACCCTCGTGTCAATTAATTTTACACCTAACCTGAAAATTTCATGATCCTGAACCAAATGACCTTTGACCTGTGACCTACTTTTCGAGACCATGTTTGGCCGGAATCGCAATTCGGCGTATGTCGGCTCGCATTAGCCGCGCGTTTGCAGTCTTTTCGTGGTTTCAAGCGTTCAAACATGTGATATGATGGTGGTCCACCCCCATGCATAAAGGCTGGTGACAAGGTCACCTGAAGGTCAGGTCAGGTCATTGACCTTAAATAACCTCGGCTCACTTTTTCGAGTTTTACATGTTTCTAGGCATTAGAATTGAGCAACCATTCGAACATTTATGAAGTAGTTTTGGTGCCTTCGTAACATGTTACGAAGCTGTCAGAGGCGGTTGACACGTACTACGAATACCCGTCAGGACCCCTACTGGTTGACCTGACCTGACCTGACTCGACCTGGCCTAAACACATAAAGACATCATCTGTGATCAAAATGAATATGATATTCGTGATCAGCACCCCGAAAAAACCCTTAGCGACCACAATTTACAACGTTCTAACATATCCCGATTTTCCCGACTTTTGGGTCATTGACCTGACCTGGGAGGTCAACCAATGACCGAGGACCTTTAAATTGGGTAGCATCGGCTTCCTCTCGTCACTGGCAACACGCTCGATTTTTCCTTGAAGCTCTAGCTCAATCAGGGCCAATCGACAAGGGGGGCAACAGCCCCCCCCCCTATACGTTCTTGGCTGGCAAAACACCAATATGGGCGAGGGTTGATAGTAAATGATTGGGGACTGGGAATGGCTATTAGAAGCTAAAATCCTGATGAAACTGGTGCTTACCTCCATGCGATTTGTTGCCACACACTGTCCTTTACTATTCTATGAATTTAGGAACACTTCTGATCTATGTTGTATGTGACTGGAAGCTGCTTGTTGTATGAGGGGTCTGTCAAACTTCCTTAACTGCACCTATCTCAGAATTGAGAGCAAGCATGAAGTCACAATCATGGGAGGCTTGAATGAATTCTCAGTGAAGTTCTATGGACCTAAGAACAGTGAGTACCTACTGATCAATAAGCACAAAACGCCGGGCCACTGAGCAGAAACTGCTACTGGCTCTGTCGCTGATGGTCTTATTCAATTCAATGCTAAAATCAGTTTAAAAGTACATAAGGTAGATGTCAACCTGTCTTAGCTCCAGAGTGGTAGCTGTGCTGGTAGGTATCCAGGGTAAAGAACATCGTGCATTTTCCATTTCACCAGAAAGCTGGTGGTCATTTCAGGCATAGCTCTTCCGTATTTTTTTATTATTGCTTTTCCCTACCATTGGGGCCCGCAATGATCCTTCACTAGAGAATAAGGAACATTTCGATGCCAGCATGTCCTCGTCAGCATTGCAATATCGTACAGCAGCCTGGGTGATCTGGTGTGCTCTGTGATATCGACCGTACGTCTCCGTAACACCGCGTCTGCCGTAACCGCCGCTCCCGTCCGGCAGCTCCGTACGAGGGCGGCGTCTGGAGAGTGCGGGTCCACCTGCCTGAGCACTACCCGTTCAAATCGCCCAGCATCGGCTTCATGAACAAGGTCTACCATCCCAACATCGACGAGATGTCCGGCACCGTCTGTCTGGACGTCATCAACCAGGCCTGGACGGCACTCTACGGTGAGCGTGACGTAGATCTTCCTGATGTTTCTACTAGTCTGCTGGTTGCTAGTATGAAGTCGCTGATGAGTGCGCTGGAAAGTTCGCCTGGAATTGATTTTCCAGGTAACATTTAATCTATAAATTGGTACTTATTATTTCTTTCCCTTCACGGTCTATTTTTCAGATTTGTCCAACATCTTCGAGTCTTTCCTGCCACAGCTGCTGACCTACCCGAATCCGATCGATCCGCTCAACGGAGACGCGGCAGCCATGTACATGCACAAACCTGAAGAGTACAAGAAAAAAGTCATGGGTGAGTTCACCAGTTCGTACTTTCCAGTTTTCCGCTCAGGATTGAATAGTTATTCTTTCGGTCTGTTGAGCTAGTTAAAGATTTCCGGTTCATCGAATAGAAATCATTAGTAGGAGACGCATTGAGTAGCGCTTGCATAATACACGATGCCATTATTGCGTCTGTTGTTCAGTGCAGGCGGAAATGAATCCCGACATTTATCTCATACTTCGTCACATCAACCTGTTCCATCGCACCCCTCCCCGCCGGAATAGAGACTGTATTTCACCCGCCCCCTCCCCCTCCCTCCGTCGGCCGGCAGAGTATGTGCGCCGCTACGCCACCGAGGAGGCGCTGGCGCCCATCGAGGCCGACGGCGCCGACGCGGCCTCTTCCAGCGACGCCAGCGAGTCGTCCATGTCCGACTTCTCCGAGGACGAGGCGCGCGACATGGAGCTATAGCCCGCCGACCGTCCGCGCGCCGGGTCCGTCGGCTCCGGCCGCTCCGGCTCCGGCCCGAGGCCCCGCTCCGGATCCAGTGCTGGTCACGACTCTAACGTCAGCCCCGGCCGCGACTCTGATGCTGTGCCGGGCTCCAGTCCGGGCCACGACCCAGGTGGTGTATCGGGCTCCGTTCACTGCGCTGCGACGCGCGATGACCGTGAGCCCGAGCTTCTTGTGTCCGGTGTGGCGGGGTCTGGAGCTGGTCCATCCAGTGCTGGGTCTGAAGCTGGCCTGTCCGCTACAGCCGAGCATGAATGTGGTCTGGCCATCACATCCGAGTCTAGACCTAGTGCCGAACCTGAAACTGGCCTGCAACACACAGTCGGACCTGGAGTCGGACCATTCAGTGTCACCAGACCTGGCGTTGGTCCGCGCGACTCTAACGGACGCGGACCGGGCCGGGCCGGACCGGCGCGCGGTCCCGGTGCCCGCCCTACCTATGGGACGGAGGGCGGTGCCATATCCAGTCGAGTGGCCCCGTCCCCAGTGAGGGAGAACACAGCGGCGGCTCGCTGGTCGCCGCCACACCCCTGAACACTGACAGAGAAACGCGCGTGGCGTATTTTTACCGTATATAGATGTGTGCGTATGTGTGTCGCGTTGTGAGCTGCCGGGCGGCCGGGGCGAGTGTGGCCGCTCGGACCGCTCCAGGGACCGGCACCGGTCGCTCTGCTTGCCGTGTTTGTTACGTTTTAGTCGGCGGGACGGCGGGAGGACCGCCGGCGACCGCTGCGGTCCGCGATCTCTTCTCAGCACTACCTTGCATTGCTGTAGCGCCGCGCCGCCCCGCCGCCGTCGATAATTTTACGCTGCCGACCGCGCCCGCGAGAGTCATAGGTCTGTGTGAAATCGATAAGTATATCGTGTGTTGATGAGTTTTATTGAATATTTTAGTTCGTTTGTTTGACTTACTCGCCACGCAAAAAGAGATGTGGCGAATGCCCCCGCTTTTTCATCTGGTAGCTTTGTGTTGTGCACGCTATCCCCGTTATTCACTATATGTTCTCTCTTGTGTTTCACTATGGCCGGGATGCGCGAAATGTCTACTACTGTCGGTTTGCTTCGTCGGTAGCCGGGTTTTACGTTCGGTTTAGTTGACTGGTTACGAGCGATGCGGTGTTGTCCATTGCTGGTGAGCCGCCCTGCGAGCAGATACCAGCGCTCGCCGTGGGCTCGCTTGAAACTAGGAGTTGTCGCTTTCACCAGTAGCTGGCAGTGGTACCGGCTGCTCCTGTCTCCCGTGTACTGTACATAGTGATCTAGTGATGTGTCAATAATTAGTAGGGCTGCCTGCTGCCCCGAGTGTCGCGCGCCGCGGTGTGTAGGTGTGCCGCATTCGATGGCAGTCAGGCTGCTGGAGGAGAGAGGGGAGAGGAGGGAGGGACAGAGGAGAGGAGGAGTGCGGTGGATAGGACAGCTGAAGTCCCTGGCGTCGGTCGCCAACAGTTACCGATCGATAAGTCAACCTCGAGCTCACTACCGCTAGGACTGAAGAGCACGGAAACCACCCATACCTCCGTCATTGTGAGGGGCAGCCCATGCGAAAATACACAGACTCCTACTGCTGAGCGTGTGGTTGTAAACCGACTTCAGTGCACCAATCCACGACTAAGTACTGCAAACATGAACCCTCAAACAAGGCAATAATTGCTTCATCCTCTGTACGACCTGAAGGAATATGCTTCGTTTGTGACCCACTAAACAATGCACACGCCACAGCTTCTGTTTGGGAAATAATGCTTTTGGTTAGTCAACTACGAATTACGCCCTGAAATACAGGATTTTTATATGGTTTCGTGGAATGCCTGATAGCTACGAAGCTGTGAAAGACAACGATGGAACATGGCGGTTGTCTAAATTACCGCATCAATTAGCAGGTGGTGAACCGGGTGATGACATCGTACGAGAAATGCCTTTCTGCGTTCACATTCTTGGCTGCACTGATGTCATGCGTTTGTCGTAACTAGCACGTGGGTTTCAGTGAGAATGTGACTAGTCCTGGCACTACACCCTTGCCAAGGAGTGGGCAAAGACCAGAGTTTCACGTTCAAGAGTGCGGCGAGAACGGGTCGTATCCTCTTATCCCGAGCAACGTTGACAATAGTGACGTTGCAACCATGGTCCCAATCGGTTCTATCCTGGGTCAGCTCTGTCAATACACAACCATCCGGAGACTCAATAAAGGAACGGCAAGTTCTGTATTATCATAGAGCGATCATGCGCGGTACAGCATACACACATCACGTAGGTATGAATACATCGCGCATGAAAACGACCAGTGGCGCCTGCCCGCTCGCACGGAAGGACCCTGGTCCACGTCAATCACATGTTCAGAGGTGTCACAACGTCAACGCGCCCTGGGTACAGCAGCCAGGAGTGGAAGGGGTCGGAACAGTCTGCTCGGGCAGCACAGACAATCCTGTGAGAGGTAACACCGTCGAGTGCTTTATTGTTCGGCACAGGACCTCCGTTGAACGCAAACGACCAGTGATCGGGTATGGAGTCTGAAACGCGGTACACATCTGACACTGGGATATGCGTGTGAAATGAGGTAACGAATGAACAGGCACACAATTCCCAGCTTGATTGCATTCTTATGTCGGACACCAGTAAAATGGTACCCAGTCCGACGACAAGCAATGAAGCAAGTGATTTCAGATGTCCTCGACTTCGACTTCTCAGTTGAAGCGGGGCACTCACTGGGGTAACTGTTCCAGTCCAAACATTCACAGTCAGTTGGATGACATATTTACAAAGCGCTCATGCAGCTAAACGTCTCTCGTTCACATACATTCACCCCGATAGCTCTCACGCCCACATTTTACATCACTGAGCTGGGTCATTCTCCAGGAAACCGGAGGTATGTCTCAGCCACAGCACATCGCTCCTCTGGCGCCAGCACATCCCATACTCCATACACGCACATATTGCATTGAGTTCTGTTCATGCCGTCTATGCACTGCCAGGCGCTCGCTGTCAATGCTGTCAAAGCACACAGAAATGTGAGGATCAGGCGTGTCGGCCGGATTAGCTGTGATAACCCTGAGCGGTTATACAGCACCAACGCAGTCCTGTGTCCAGCTCAGTGTCGGCTGCCCCCAGTCTGAGATCATACACAAACTAAAGCCAATCTACCTGTCGTAAGATGGAAACCATAGCATGTACACCTGCTAGTGCGGACATTTGTAAGCAGACTGTTCTTGGATAGAAAACGTCATTGCTGGAGCGATCTAAGCGTACGATGAGAGGCACAACCACGCGGGCGGGTACACAATATGCGGTTACACCTGCGGCAATCCATGTCTTTCTCTGACGAATTATACCTAGCGGCTAGCGGGCGGCGCTCCAGCCGACCGGCGGCTATTAGCACACTCCGGGGTGACCCGTAAAGGACTGTCTCGACCGACTTCTCAAGGCAGCAAGCCAGCCCCGGTCCACTGCCGCGCGGAACGGTCCGTCAGGTTACCACCCCACCCTCTATCAGCTCGAGACTATGCAGACCACTATCGTAACGTCACCGGCTTCCCGTCGGCGACCGACTCCGCACCCAGCCGGCGGGGCGCACTCGCCCGGCGCTGCGGGGCACGCTCGCCCCATTTGTACCTATTTCCGAGTCTGTCCCAGAGGTCGGGACGGACCCTCGGTCGGCCCGGCTCAGTCTATTTCCTCAGCGTCCGTGGCCCTCTCGGGTGCGGCGTACGGGATGCGCCGCCGGTAGAACAGCAGGTAGGCCTCACTGGTCATCACATCTTCCTCCTTCATACGCACCACGCGGGCGTCATCGAACCGGCGCCAGCCTAGCGGGGGACAGGCCAGTCGGTCAGTGATGTATGGCGAAACAGACGGGGCACACACGGGCCTGATCCGGTCCAACGCAGACACACCGCGGTCAGTGACAGATATCGGTATAAATACTATAAGCAGTGGTTTTGTACAACCATACAATGATACAGATGCTATGTGCAAAAATAACAGGCAGCAAAATGCAATTAACAATTGAGGTCAATGTCAATGAATTCCTGTTCAATTATGCCAATGGAGTAATGGTTTTCTACAAATAAGTTTCTATCAAGCAGCGTGTCACTTGAAAAGCCTAAGCTGAAAACGGATACACGGATGTCAGCAATCCTCTCCACCAGCACCCCTGAGACCCTCGCGCCGTCCCCAGCTGTAAACCGTACCGAGCTCTGCGTTCTCTGGCCGTAGTGGGTCCACGCAGCGGGCGAACGCCGTGTAGTGGCCGCCCAGGATGCCGCCGTGGTGGTTGATGACGCCGTACAGGTCGTACAGTACGCGGCCCTCGTCCGGTTCCTCGGTCAGATACTGACGCAGGTTCAGGTCCCTGCGGGTCAGTGGGGATCGGTGGTCAACCTCACTGCATCCGGGCGGACAGATTGAACACCGCTGTAGCCGGGTTCGCCCGGCTACTGTCGAGATACTGTCACAGACGTTTGAGCATAAGTACTCCCTCCATATGGCGCCAGTCCACGTCATGATAGATACAACCCATAGATGCCAGCCGGTGAAGTAAAATGTCCTAAAACAAGATAACCATAACAAAGAAACGAACGAGCGAACAAACGAACAGAGGAACACAGAAGGACGGGCGGGCTGACGGCCTCAAAAGCAAAAATTAAAGACCAGAGAAAAGGGCCAGTGCTTACCGGACGGGGAACTCGACCATCCTGTCGATCTTGTCGCGGCCGTAGAAGGACTCCTTGAAGGAGAACCTCTTCAGCTGGATGATGAGGTTCAGGGGCAGCCGCCACAGGCTGAGCTGCTTCTCGGCCTCACGGTGCGCCTTACACCTGTGGAGACAGACACCGGAGCGACAACGTGGGGTCACAACTAACACAACAGCAGCTTCACAAAGGGACACCAGGCGGAGGGATCACAAAACTATAAGCGAAGAGCGATGGGAGAGCTGGCGAGTACAATCTGCTAAAAAGGCGGACTTGTGCCACAAACCTGCCGCATCAACAATATTTATCTTAATTGACTTCACCTGTCCTTGGGGTAACGTCCACTGATGCGTAAATAAATGGATTGAAATGCCCGGCAGTTGCGCGAGCAGACAATACTGAGACCTGGGCAATCCAACTAGCCCAACGAAAGTAATAGCACTAAGTTACCTGGAACAGTACCAGGCCTCGTCCGGGGGACAGTACCAGGGACAGCACATACCTGGGACAGTATATGGGACAGTACATACCTGGGACAGTATATGGGACAGTACACACCTGGGACAGTACCAGGCCTCGCCCGGGGAGAGCCGCTCCGGCTCGGTAAACAGCCGCAGACACTGGTGCAGGCCGATCCGGCCGGTCGGCTCCGGCTCCGGGTCCGGGTCCGGGTCAGACTCCAGCTCTTTGTCGTCCACCAGACAGCAGGGCTGCCAGCGGCGGCGCGCCGTCTTCCAGTCCATGGCGACCGTGCAGGGGCCGCGCAGGTCCAGCGGCTCGTCACCTGGCGACACCGCGACGACAGGGTCAGACAATAGACAATACAATAGACAATAGACAATTTATTCAGGACATTCCACTGGAACATGTGGCTATTACTGCCCGTCGTCAGTAAAACAGGTGATGATAAAATGCAATAAAAGATGAAAAGGGAACACATACAGAGAGACACTCATGATAACTAGTTGCTATAGTTCGTTTTTTTTCAAAAGGACGCTGGCTCCAAGTATGTTTTTCGAACAAGCACGTGTTTTAGCGAGCAAAACGAGCAAAAACTGAACCAGAGAAAATCGAACGTCGACTAATTTTAACATGTGATTTCTTCCCGATAATTTCCATATGTGCGTTTTGTAACTATATATGAGAACAGTGGTGACGTCATACTGTCGAACATGTATTGCAATGTAACTTATAACTATCATGGACGGAACTGCTCACTCGATTATAAGCTCGGCAACAGTGAAAAACTAAGTTTCACCCAAATCGTTGACACTTGTCCCATTGCACGGACATTTGGGTGCCTGCTGCCACCAGTGACGTCGTCATAGTATGTTCATTTTTAAGAAACAATTTCCAGCTACTTACCGTGCACAATTTGAAATCAATTATTTTTTTTCGGTAAGAAATTCTTGGCCAGACACTGAAGCTGCCAAAACTCACGTGAGAGCTTCGATATTGAACTTTGAGCCAGCGTCCTTTTGAAAAAAAACGAACTATAGTGTTCTACTCCTCGAGCAGATGCCTGCGTAGGCGTTGTCCGAATCAGAGATAAACGCACACGCTCGGTAGACAGACACTGCTCGATACAGGAGCGCACCGTACGAGTCGTGCAACAAACGCATCGATAAATGGGGACAGAATAGCACGTCATTAGACCACTACACTTGTTTGGGTGTAAGACTGTAAGAGCAAACGACAGAGGAGTAGATCACAAGGACTCAGTCACACATGGGGCCGGGTCCCTTTTGACTGGCCATTTCCCCATTTCCTAGATACGTAAAATGACCCAACCTTTTGCAGCCGGTGGCTTACCGTTGTCCTGTATCCGTCCGCTGTCTGAGGAGACGACGTTCTCGCCCTGCTGGTCCACCGAGCGGATCA